AACAATGGCATAATATAAACTATTTTAGAATTACGTATAGGCAACCAAACACAACAAGAAAAATAATTTAGATAAAACCTTGTAATTATTTATTAAATATGTCAATAAAGTCTTAATTAAGTCTCTAGTCTATTTTTATTTTATATTTACATAATATAAATACCTTACACTCTTTTTCCGATACAGAAAATTTTGTTAATTGCTTCTTGAAAATGCGACAACCTGACAACGCTGTTTTTAACGTTCGGGACGCGTTCGGGTGGACGACTCTACCCGAACAACTGGTAGGACAGATGCTCATTAGGACAGATGTGGTTCTCCCCCGGTTTACGGTACCGATGACGGATGAAACTATCCTGTCCGTCATACCAGGTACCCTCTACTGTCTGGGGTCATGTATCACGGGCAGAGGGTGTGTGGGGAGGGGGGGTCTTAGCCTAAAGCCCCGTTCTCAGAACTGCGTCGTGTCGACAGCGACACTGATTGACACTTCAAACGACCAATGGAAGCTGTACTAAATTTAAAATTGACAGCTGTTTGAATTTTGTAGAAATCTGATTGGTTGTTTTGTCGTGTCGCTGGCGACAGTCGCAGTTCTGAGAACGGGGCTTAACCCTTTGAATAAGAAGACTAAGGAAGGAGCATAATGCTATCCATGTATTCATCAGAGAAATAGAAGGGATAGAGAATGAGCGTCAACATGCGCAGAAGGTCTAATCAAGTTGGGCGCCATATTCCAGGTCTTCCTGTCATTTTGTATATAGGTGGTAATCTATAAGTAATCAAATATCAATTTGCTGTTTTCAACCATACGGGGGGCAATTTAAATTTAGTGAAATTCTATCATTTATTATGGTTAGTTAACATTAATATGATTTATTTAATTATCAGTTTCAAAACTGCGTACAATATTGGTATATAATACACTAAATATACGAATATTCTGACAAAAGACGCTACGGACAGATGACCTTTTCGTCGTTAAACACTCGAAATGATATTAAATAAGTATTTACAATATTTCATGTTTACTTGTACTGAATTACGCGTTTCAATTTAAAAATGTTTGCAAATTTGGTAAAAATTGTTCTAAACACCTTTTGTTCAAGTTGTATATTCATAAAAACATTTGGTTCTATAATTATTTTGATGATTACCTACCTTGTATTTTTAATATAAACCTAGAAAAATATGTTTTTGTTTTATTTTTTTTATTCGTCCCTTCAAATTGTGTTTCAAAACTGTTACATAATATGTCCTCTGACAAATATTTTCATAATACATAAACATCATTGATTTTATTAAGGGTATTATTATTAGTATTTATCCTGGTTTTTGTCGACAATAAAACTCAATCTTGTAATAGAACATCAATTTTATATTTCGTAAAATTATTTTGATACAAATTCAATTTGTCAAAATTCAAGTCATTAATATATTGATAAACAACCCAAATTATTCCTAAATATTTTATTATAAAAAACTGTTACTGTAAGTTTGTAAAAACACATTATGGTTTGTCGTGAATACTAGAAAAATCATTTATTTTTTGCGCAAAAGAAGCTTGTCGATCCTTATTTGTCCATAACAAAATTCTGTGTGTAATAAACATACATATACCTAATTTATTATTAAGAAAATTAGATTATATGATCTCAGAATTTTAAGAAATTTTTTTAAGATAAAATAGTTTCTTCTCAACTGTAATATTGTCAACTTTGGCCTGTATTTTATCTATTTAAAAACATGGGATTGACAAATCCCCTTACTAAAATACATACTGGAAGGTACCGATTAAGTTTTATTGCATCAAATACCTTTTTGCTATAAATCCTGGCTCACAATTTAACGCCATTGCAAAATGCTTTTGAACTTCATCATAGATTTTACAAGAATAAAAGTGTAATATTGAAACAAAGTAACCTTTGTAAGCTTCATGACTAATAGTCTCATTTTTAACACTCTTTAAATATCATCTCGTTAACAATTATGAATATTATATGATTTTTCTCAGTGATTTGTGGCACAGATACAAATTAATATATGCCCCATAACAGTTTTTAAATAAGAAACTTCTGCCTACAGATTTAATTTTCTTATTGGCATAATACCCTTTCTTCCTATATAAATCTCGCCATTTTTTCAGTCCAATGTTCCTTGTTTTTACAGTTGTAGGAATACTAAAAATGTTGATTATAGAACTCGATACTATGTTTGAAAAAGCCTTCATACCTGTAACTGTGCATAAATCTAATTAACTGAATTCTCCTCCTCTTGACACTCTGAACACTGCTGCTGCTAATGTTAGAAATATTTAGCACAAAACTACAACTACCTACAACAAACTTTACAATAAAAATGTTAAATTTTCGCTGTTCGATTAAAATACCCTCTTATGTTTTCTTTTTCCTCCAAATAATCTTCTTGTCAAGTAAGGACCAATCTTATTTGACATATTTCTGCACACACTTGAACTTGTGCTTTCATGGACACTATAAGAGTGCACTGTTTTACAGAAGCAAGAACATTGATTCCAAGTATCTTCTTCCTCCACACGTAATAAAACATCCTCTTTAAATGGCCACATCATACACACTTATTTTTGACCATTCCAATTACAATCACGATTTTACAAATCGCCTTTAGGAAAACTAAAAATAAACAGTTTTGGATCATCTGTAAACACGATTATGTTGTATAAACTTACACATAAAAACTAATCATTTTTCCCGGCGTATTAGCTTTCTGAGAATGACTATGACAATATACAATAAGCCTTTTTGAATTAGTGTTTAGAATAATTGGGACTCTGATTGAGATAATAATAAATTTTAACTAGATAACAACACGAACGAAAAAAAAACAAAACAAACAGATGTCAATTAAAGAGGGGAAGTGACAGCGAGACCTGGAAGATGTCTGCCATCTTGCCGTCGACAAAAATTTGGATGCGCACTCGTCGAAGCTCATTCTCCCACTTCCATATCTCTGGTATTCATGCATGGTGGGCGGAAAAAGCACCATAAAAGCACTCTAGGGTGGGGATCCTTGACAGTTCTGTTTGACGATTCATTTGACACATTTGAATTTGATTTGAAATTTTGTGGATTTGTCAGTCTTTACGGAGCTTATTTTATGTTATTTATTATTTATTCTACTACTGATAGTTGTATAAAGGTAGTAAATCTAGATGGAAATTGTGGCAGCACTTAAATTAACAGTGACACTATCGCGATTTATCGAAAAAGACTCTAAAATAGTTGGTTGTGTAGCGTGCGGTAGATTTCGGCAAAAATTGAGTGAAATAATGGAACAACTTTTCGCTAGTAAGTGACTATATAATATACATACGTGTAGTAAACCGATCATTTTATTTATTTTTCTTACATTTTAGCTTTTATTTATTACTTGTCAAAGATTAGATGTCAAAGAATTTAGATAAGTTAATTTGACTTACCTGCTTCAGTAGCGTATCGGATGTTTGTGGTAATAAATACTTATTATAACTTATCTATTTTTATTAGAATTATATATTTTTATAACAATTTTAATAACTACCAACATTTATTCACAACGTCAAATAAAACAACATATTATTGAGTCTACCCCACGTCTACCCTACATCATAGTTTTACATTTTTTAAATAAAATCAGAACGACACTGATAAACCGGAATTTAAGTCGGCCATATTTGAGGCCCATCGCGGTGTACCTAAGATTTTTGATATGCTCCTTCCTTAGTCTTCTTATTCAAAGGCCTAACCGCTTGAACCAAGGGGAGACAACTTTACCAAAAACCTAAATCCTATGATGGCGGGACCAGGTCAAAGGGATGCGTGGCTAGATAGAAGTCTAGCCTCAACTGGTCTCAACCTTGAGATACCAGGGGGCAATTTTCGTCTCCCTTCTACATGCGGGGTTCTGTAGAAGTGGACCGGCTCACCCTTGTGGTGTAATTGACCTCAAATCCAAGGAGGCAATCGAGAAAAAGGGATATATCCTCTATTATAGATTCGGGGAACACTGGTATAAGGCGGGTACCTCAGCCGGAGACCAGCTCTCCGACTGTGCAGGGCACGGAGGGCTAAACCCCAACCGTGGAAGGGTGTATACCCTCGTAGGAGGTAGATGCCCACTTCTCGGAGAATGGGAAATACACTGTCAGACCTACAACAGGACGTATGATGAGTTATAGAAATATAACTCAAGAAAGGGGGGCACAATAAATCTTTAAGGTCCCTGTGATTAACCCCTCCCCCCTATACTCATTCTACATTCTACATCAATTAAATTTTATTTCAAAGAAAATTAAAATCAAATATTTTGTTGAATAAAGAAAGTAAACCATAAATCGTTTCGCGGTTTTATGGTTTAAGAAAGACAGTATGCTGTGTTCAAAATAAGAAAGTTGGTTTGGCCACAGTTACAAGACTCGATCATTGTGTATAAAAGTTTTATATTTGTTTAAAATGTATCTACATATGCTAATGTTTATCTGTGTCGTCGATACTGAAGTAACGACTTGCTCTAGAAAGTTGCTTTTTTTTTACTAAAAGATAGCTAATTGGCTCTTCTAAAAACTGTCGTCACCGGATTTTTTGTCTTTCATTTAATTAAAAAAAAATAAAAAGTATTTTCTTTTCCTGATGTCGTGGCGGATGCGCCAGGCTTCAACTAGTATTTTTATAAAAATCTAAGAGTTTTTTCGAACAGGCTTAATTAATATACCACTAATTCACCACAATACACCAAAACAATTTTTTGCACTGGACGCGCGTTTTGCTAGCCATGAAGACTAGTTTTTAACATCATCATCAAGACTACTTTTTAACATCATCATCAGATGATTAAAACTAGTTTTCTAACAGTTTTAAAAATAATGCTAACATAACGAAACGCGAGTCCAGTGCAAAAGTAGAGTGTCTTGGTGTATTGTGGTGAATTAATGTTTCATTTTGCTATTTATTTATTATAGGATTTGTAGATAACAACACTAGGAATCGTTATAAACTCATACTTTATTGTATTTTCATCAAGTGTTGATAAAAAGAGAAATTTACTGGTAATACTATTATAAGAAAACAGTTTAGTGTATAGTTCAATTGAGATATTATTATTATATCCCAAGTTTAACTTTCTATTTCTTTGTATTTCTTTATTCAATTAGTTGTGAAGTAATACCTACACCATCGCAGAATATATAATACTTATTAAAAAAGCTATACAAAAGATTTCTTACAAAATATTACAACGTCATTAGATGCATCTCAGCCTCATGCTCAAATCGTCCTTTGCCTTGGAATGTAAATACCACTAACTATTTTTAAGCTACTACTCTTTTCAACGATTCTTTCATTGCCATTCTTTTATTATATCGTTTATTCTGAATTTTGCAAATTTTTTTGCATTCTTCTTCGGCAATACACTTGGAACAAAATTCTTTAAATATAGTATGGAATGGACTTTGATAATAAATCGAATTGTCACCTTGTCGTAAGAGTTTAGCATTTTGTCGATGACACCATGCGTGTAAAATTACAGCAGATGTTACCACAATAAGTCCAAGAATAGGCGTAAAAATTACAGTAGGCAGTAAAAAAACCAATGCAGCAATAAAGTCTCTGAATATTTCATCCGAATGTGTTTTAGCAGTATCTTGTTTAACTATTGTAGGAATTCCTAGGCTATATCTGAAAAAAAAAGGATTTACTGATACATATCTACTATTTAAAAAGATATCATTCATTATTATAATATTATACATTAAGATGCAAAAAAAACGCAACGGAGAAATTTTTGGTTAAACTTAGTGTTAAATTTTTGTTATTTTTAGTTTAACAAACTGTATTATAATTATATCAAGTTCAATTCGTAAACTCAGTTTTTTATAAACTTTAATATTTGACACTTCACGATTTAGTTACGTCTCGTGATATTTTATTTGTTTACTTATTAACGAGTCGTTGTAATTTTCCCTATATCTTGAAAATTTTTAAGTGCAAGTTAGAAACACTTACATTTTTGGTAATAATAAGTGGAATTGAGTTGGTGTTCGGCAGTGGTCGCGCTATTAGAACTCTGAATTCAAAAATCGATATCTCGAAATCTGATAGAAATAAATTGATTGTAGTTTTTTCAAAAACTTTCTTAATATTTCTGCTATATTTTCTTCGCAGACAATATGTGAAAATCTTGTTACAGGGTTAAAATCTTAATTATACAGGGTTAATCGAGGGGTTGTTTTTTTTACCTTAACGTTAAAACACTCACTGTGCAAATTTTCATAAAATATAATTTTACGGTCAGAACATTAGTCAGAACTATGACTCCTGAGTATTTTATTTTTTGATTCATGTCAATACATCCTTTAGTTAATTTTTAAGAGCGAAATGGACTGATAACGATCAATTTGCGATTTTTTTAATTATCATTACTTTTTTATGTAATTTTTTAATATGACGAGATGGTTTTGGTGACTATTGTCGTAACGTCATGTTACACTGCATTGGATACTCTATACTAATTTAAAAAAACGCTACTAAAGACTAACGAAATAGAGTCCGGGTTTTTATAAACATTAATAACGATAACAGACCTAACAATATTAAAGAAAACATCTGTAATACTCAAGTACACAAACAGAAAAAAAAATTGTAAATATTACCCTAATACTTTGTATTGCCGCCCTTGGCTGCTATAACTGCCTGTATATGTCCGTTCACACTGTCATTGAGGCTGCATATATCATATTGCGTTATGTTTTCCCATTCTTTTCGAAGCGCGACCTCTAACGCGCAACCTCTTCGCGACTTCTAACCCTCCTGCCAAGCATTTGCCAAACGTCGAACATGATGGGCAGTTCATAGTAGTATACAGAGAATACCAGGCTACTAGTAACATAGCAAGTTGCCGGACGAATTTACGTTTACCCGATTTGCGTTCGTATTCGAGATTCAGCCGGCTAGTCGGCTGGTCAGGCAGTACGCAGTTGCAGTTGTGCTTGGACGGTTCGGTCGTGACAGACTAGGAGTACGACGCGAGGAGTACCGAGTATTTATTATTTTAATTTTAAGTGTTTCCCCTCACTTAAAGTAACATTTAAAATAAAAATACTTAAATATTTATAATTTGAGTGTGTTTACAAGCCAAAACTAAAAATAAATAAATTTTCTAAACCCATAAAAAAACTAAAATATTACTCTAAATAAAAAAAATTGTAACAAGTGTTCAAAAAGACCATCTTCTTGTGCTAGACAGAAGCCTAGGCGGTCGTAAAATCCCCGTCTGACATTGGCTAACATATTAGGGCTAATAGTTTGGAAAGCCTCTCGTATTTTTTCTTGAAGCTTATCCATATTATTAGCCGTATTATGACCAAACACTTTGGATTTTACATAACCCCACAAAAAGAAATCATTGGGAGAAAGATCTGGTGATCTAGCGGGCCACAAAATAGTTCCATATCCACTAATTAAACGGTTGGGAAAAGTATTGTTCAAATATTCTTGAACCATACGGGCATTGTGGGCAGGGCAACCATCACAGCAATTTGATTACTTGAAAACGTGGGATTTTGATCCGCGGTAGCACAAATGAACACTTGCTTTAACTCCTGTTCTTCACTAATCAACACATCAGGCATTTTCAGTTTTTGTGGGGACACGCACCCATGTATTTTAAAATTATTAATAACTCTTGATATAGTAGGTAAAGATGGACTTGGCCTGTTTACAAAAGTTTGTGGAAAAATTGTTTGTATGTCCCGATAAGACCGATTTTGGAAATACCATTTTACAATTTGAATTTTCTCACGAACTTCGTAAACATCCATTATTTTACTTAAAAAATAAATTTTACACGAGAACTGTCGCGAGAATCTATGTATTCGTTTTGGCTATTAAAACACGAATAAATGTAAATTCTGAAACATTCTTATCACATATCTACCTATTTTTATTTTATCGCATTTTTTCGCCTGCTTTTTATCCGTCGGACGGGTATACGCTAATTCGTCCGGTTCTGACTATGTTACTACTACGGTAGTCCGGTCTGTATAGTTTTACAGTATCTGAGTGTATAATATACAATTTAAAAAAAATAAGTCAGAAAAGTGTAGAAATTTTATGATGTAAACTAATGACGTTCATAGAAATTATTATTTCAGGATAAAGTTATGGGCTGTAACTGTGTGTACATACAGTTCCATGGTCTGTAACTATTCAAACTTGTGTGGAAATACGCTGGTAGAATATCGGAATACCAATATCATTATTTTCTGATATAGTCTGTTCAAAGAAAGAATATCTAATAGTGGCTGTTAGATGCGCCGTTTCTGCTATTATATTGATGTTACACACTACATTAATATATATCTAACACTAACCGTTTTTGAGAAAAAAAATATTTAAAATTTTCTGACAAAAAAACTACCTGTCAAAAAAATGTGTTGCGTGAAAACCCCTGTATACCTATATTTTTATCTTTAAAAAAATAATGCCCTAGTCTCTAATGTACATTGAAAACTATCAATTACTTTTTAGTACCTGCTAATTTGGAAAGGGTTTTGGGCTTGCAAACTTTCCCATATGAAGTGAATGCTGTAATATTCCTCTTCTCCAGTTTCTTTGTTCAAAAAATATGTCATAAGTTCGTTTTCCCCTGTTTCTGGATCGGTTCTTTTAAAAAAAGCCGAATTAAATTCTCCAGTTTCATCGTCCATCCGATCCTTGGAAAAAAAAAATTCTTACCAGTTTTGTTTCAAAAGTTAAATTTTAATTTATAAAATTGTCGTTCTCTGCTAATATTTTTTCAAAATTTCAACCTTTATTACTTAAGTCAGTGGTTTCCAACTTGTCGGCGCCCCCCCTAGGGGAGCATGCAGCTGTTTCCAAAATATCAATTTCGAATACAAACCAAAAATTTACCAGTATTTTGGTAAGATTTGTTTTTATTACATTTAAAATTATTATTTCTTATAATAAATAATTATTTTTTTACGTATATTTTTACATAACATTTTATATTATTTTTAGCCTATTACAATAAATTATAATATCAGTTGAGTATTTATGAAATTAGATGTTAGAAAAATTAGGGGGGCGCCACAATTCTTTTTTAAGGGGGCACAGGTACAAAAAGGTTGGAAACCACTGACAAGTGTTTAACAATTATTTCGACAGAATTGTTGACATCATCTATATTCCTATTCTTTTATCGATATAATAAATAATAATAAATCTAATCACAGCACACGCCAACACGTTATGCACTTATAAAATTCAGTTATAATTTAGCGTTATTTTTTTATATTCTTTCTATATTTATATATTTACCTTTCTCTGTATTACCACATTTACAATAAAAATACTAATTTGCTGTTTTTAACGAGAACCGACAGTATAAAGTTCATCACTCCAGTAGTGGTTTGGTAGTTCCTAAAAAGCCTTGAATTCGTTCAAGCGCTTGAGTTCACAGGTTAAACAAAATGCGACTGGTTTCGTATATAATTTAAATATTCCTTCCAAACTGTTTGTTTTTTTTATGATAATTTAGACGAATTTGAAACTATTTTTATTGATTGATAACAGGTAAAAATACCCGATAGATTCAAAAAAATCGTTCCGTAAGTTTCCTACTTGATGTTTAGATTATTTAGAAGAAATTTTTCTTAATTTTTATTTAATACTTACGCACACGATGGACCTTTCTTCAGAAATGGTGCTATATAAGGTTTCCTGTTTGAGATTTTCACTCTTTTTACGTGCAAAATATACAAGCAATGGAACAGTTTAAATATAAGTAATATACAGTATGTCCCCGGATTTTCTTTACAAGACGAAACTATTTACTTTCTATTATTGACATTTTAGATTACAGTTGAGGGTTGGAGAACCTTTGGTGTTACACAGCAAAATAAAAACACTAAATCACCACAATACACCAAAAAAACACTTTTACTTTTACACTGGACGCGCGTTTCGCTAACCATGTTACCATCATCAGCAGATGATTGTAAACTAAAGTACAATCTACAAGTTGAGCGTTTATATACTCGCTCGGTGGGCGCCGAGTGGGCGTGGCAAAATCTAGCCAACCGAGTCAGATTTTTGGCTAATTTATTCATGAGCAGGTTTGAAGTGGAGGCTAAGAATCAGTTTGAGTATTTTCCAAGAGCATGGTTTAGGTATGTGGATGATATTTTTGCTGTTTTTGACACACATTCAGACACCATAGATAATTTTATTTCTAAGTTAAATAATCGTTTTCCTTCCATTAAATTTACGCATGAAATTGAGAACAACGACAGATTACCATTTCTAGATGTATTAGTTATTAGAAATACTAATAATTGCCTGGAATTTGATATCTATAGAAAAAATACGACCACACGCAGATATATTTCTAATGAATCACATCAAATTGTTGAACATAAAATGGCTAGTTTAAATTTCTTAGTTTCCCACTTTCCAACGAAATATATGAAATAGAAAGAGATTACATTAGGAATGTAGCTGAGTGTAATGGATATCCTCCTTCACTAGTTGATAAATTAATTAGAAAACGTAGGTATAGGTTAATGATTTCGGAAAATTCGACTTTTCAAGTGGAGAAAGATACGTCTAAATATTTTTCGATACCGGGCCGTTTGATATAGAGTTATCCCGTGGTCTAAAAGGAATTTTTAAGAATGTCAATTATAAACTTGTGTATAGCGCTAATAATAAATTACAACAATTATTAGGTAATCCAAAGGATAAAACACCTCCACTGGAAAGGTCGGGTATTTATGAAATTTCTTGTAAAGATTGTAATCAGAAATATGTTGGGCAAACTAGAAGATCAATATTAACTAGATTTAAAGAACATTTAGCTCAGATAAGACATGGTGGACCGGATAAATCTTGCGTTGCCGAACATATTGTTGATAAAGAACATTGTATAGATCTTAATAATTTAAAATTAATTAAACAAGTCTCAAATTACAGGCAATTAGATGCATATGAAAGCATCAGAATTAATAAATGTAAAGATAGTATGAACAGAGACAACGGTCCAATTCCTTCAAGTTCTTTGTTCCTACTACCCTAGTGGCGGAAATCTAACTGTTACGCTCAGTGGGCTCTGACTCGGTTGGCTAGATTTTGCCACGCCCACTCGGTGCCCACTGAGCGAGTATATAAACGCTCAACTTGTAGATTGTACTTTAATTTGTAGTCATCTGCTGATGATGCTAACATGGTTAGCGAAACGCGTGTCCAGTGTAAAAGTAAAAGTGTTTTGGTGTATTGTGGTGATTTAGTGTTTTTATTTTTTTTATTGACATTTTGATAAAAGTGCATTCTTCAAAAAAAATGTTGCTTGTTCTAGAATGTTTTGTTTCCCCGTTTATACTTGTCCAAATTTCCATACCGATTCAGAAAAAATAAAAAGAAATCATGAAAATATATTGTAGTTCAATAATTGTTGAGGTCTTAAAAATCAAGACCCTTTTCTATGGCTATATAATTTCGTTTTCATTGTTTGATAGATTGTTATTAATATAATTTTAATTAACATCATATTTTTTCATGTTTTAAAATGTTAAAGAAGCACAAAATTTATTTAGTTCAGTGCTACGGAAAGGGTGATAACTATCGAAAAATGTGATACTTTAACAACAGCGATAAATATGACGTTAATCAAAATTATTAATAACCATCTATCAAAGAATGAAATCGAAATTAAATTACCATAGAAACGCCTTTTGATTTTTAGGAAATTTACCTCGAAATTTGGTCTTGAAGGTCTCGGTTGGTCTTGAAGATCTAACGCTAGTCTTGGTCTTAGTCTAGTACAAAAAGCAAGACCGAGGCTAGCGTTAGACTAGCTTATCACTACCAGGCTGGTATGATATTTACAAAGTCATTTCGAATCGTGTGAGTATCTTAATTTCGACACTGCGATAGTCGGCATCATTTGCACAAACAAATTAAGGGTACCAAACCAATCCAGAGAGTTTGGAATTACTCTATATAAATTAAATAATTGCATTTTTAGAGAAAAAAAAATCGTATCCATCACCTCATGTGTAAAATGGTTTATATGATAATTTTATTCAAAATTATTTAAAAGATTATTTTTCTTTTTTCCCTGAGACTATTGTCACAGGTTCTTACACGGTAACACTCTTAATTAATTTATTAAACAACTAAAAACTCAATACACACTATTAACGGCTAATTATTAATCTCTGATCGTTCCCGATCGATGTTTTGCATCTTCGTCATTTAATAAATAAAAATTAAGATTAATTCACTGATGGTGGGTTCATAAAGCCAAATAAAATAAAATAAAATAAGTATAAAATAAGAAATAAGGAATTCTGATTTATGAGTACAGTTTCTTGATAATTCAGCCAAATATAATATGAAATATATATTTGCTCGTAGGCAGTACGATGAACGTGGATGAAAGTTAAGTTTAATAATTGTTTATTTTTTAATAGTGTGTGCATAATATACCATACCACAGATTAGGTATACTATATGTATACAGATAAAAATCCCTTATCCCTTATTTGTGGTACGAAAATTGTTTTTTATGACGATGTGCAACCGAGTAAAATTTTCTGTGCGCAAAAATAAACTCGCGTAAAATAACAATAAACAGCGTAATAGAGAGATGTCGCTAAACCGAATAGCGTGCATGGACGTTAATAAGGTCAGATGTTATTTCCTTTACGTGAGGTGGTATTAACTCTCTTCATTTGTAGTTATCGGATCGGAAAGAATTCTGTTCGCGTCGCGTCCGCTATTTAAACTTAACCTAACTTTGAATTTAAAACTTTGCAAGATCGGTAAACTAATTAATTTTTGCAATTGATTAGGTTAACTGTTCCTGAAAACTTTGAAATTGTTAAAAAAAAGGGCTAAAGTGCTTCTTTCCAGTGCTTTATTGTTCAACGTCTGCCAGTGGGTTTAGAGCAACAAGCAACAAATAATTCTCTTAGAAGGGCTAAGTCGTCATCTGCTGTAAACCTGAAGCTTGTTTCATGTAGACGCGAATTGCGGAAAGCGATTCGCCAAAATATATTCGCAAAATTTGGACCTATTTCATACAGTCGCGAATTTTTAGGGACATTTCATTTTTGCTCCACTGAAAGTTACCAAAAAAAATCATAACCTGAGATAACTTAATTTGTTTTTTATTCGTGTTTACGACCTTTATTTTAAATTTTCTAGCATACAATAGCTTACTTCGGGTTTCTCTTATTACCGATTCTGAACCGTCCTAGAACTGTGATGCGTATGCGCAGAAGGAAATATGAAGACATTATTTCATTTGCGCATGCGCTGCAGAGTTCTAGGACGGTAATAATAAGAACCCGAACAAATCTAATATGAGTTCAAATTTGTTTAATGATTATGAATATTGATTACGATTGTGGGATTGGAACAGAAGGCGTAAAATTGCCATTTACTTATTGTTAAAACGTAGAAGAGAACGGTCATTTGGGACATGTAAAATATTTAAATTTCGTAAGCAACAAGGGTGCTTATCGCAATTTAATTTAAGAAAAGAGGACAAAAGATGAGAAAAAATTTAGGAATTTTCACAGATTGTCTGTACAGGAGTTTGATAACTTGGTTGAAAAATTGTCACCATATATATCAAAAACATATCATAAACATATGCACGAGAACCCATTTTACCTGGAGAAATCCTTTCAGTTACTTTGTACTTTGTCAGCGTCGTCAAAATAATCGATAACCGACCACAACACCATTCTGCGCAAACGCGAACCTTAAAATCGCGCGAATATTCGCAAAAAGTTGAAAACACTTTAACTTTCCCGCCACCCAAATTTTAAATCTTGTGAATCGCCAAAATCTTAAAATTTCTGACAGCGCCGCCATGATCATCATGATCAGCGCGCCATGATCAGCGCCGCCATGATCAGCAAATTCGCGATTCGCGTCAACATGAACAAGGCTTAAGTCTCTTTATAGGTTCTTTAATATTGGAAGAGGTGGAATCCATATTTTGGGTCATATTTACTTAATTAAAACTAATCCCAGCTACTTAAATATCAAATTACCTAATAAAACTAAAGTAATAATTCAAAACAATTCAAACATAACCTAAAATAAAAGATCTCGCCGGCCGGCCCCGGTTGTCAAATACCCGCACATGCCCATTTAAGCAATTTTTAAACGTTATTTAGAAATAGCGCTTGGTGTAATTGATCCGCAAATTACGTCAGACGGTAACGTTATTAGCGGGCGTTGCGTTAAAAATTGACTCGCGCATATAGTAACCATGACTGACCATGATAAGGTACGCGTAAATACTGCATGACGCTATTCGGTTTTGCGATATCTCTCTAATAACTGTGCCGGTCAGGCGCTGTGCACAATTTTAGAGGCCATAAGTGGGCGTGCTATGTGCGCAAACTCACCTAACTAGTGCCCGATTCCGAAAATCGGAACCACGAATAACAATAAAGAAAAAACGAAGATTATAATCTGTGATAATACCAAGAGTAAAGCCGGTACGCATATTCGGAATTCACCGACACATTAGCCGCTTGGGATAGTTCGGGTGCTGCGTAAAGTACCGATGTGTTAGACTAATACGTCGGCGATTTACGATGCGCTCAAATTGTTTCTTTCTTCGCATGTTTGTAAATCGGATTAATTTGATCTGCCTCTGTAATGGGTATTCGTAATTTTAATGATCAATCGTCTGTGGTTGGTTTTCATTTTTTTCCAGTAATTGGCACATTTAATTTTATTAGCACATGAATTTTAAGATATTACCAGCTGTACCTGATAAACAAATAGTCTCCAATAAACTGAGATTGCAGATTACTCATAAAAACAAATTTTAGATATGTTGCTTTTTGCAGATAAATTAAATAATAACAGTAATGTTATTAATGTATCATTAATACAAACATGCTTTTGTTTATACTGCGCAAAAGGCATGTGCGCTTTTATGTGAATGCTAGATATACCAAACGATCCAAAAAAATGGCGTCAGAGAATGCCATCAGAGCCGCAAAAGAACTTCGCAAAATATAGACTGTCCAGTAAAATTATTAGCCATAACTACCAAACCATTAACTGCCAATTTCTTTCAGACAAAATTTTTTAAAAATATGGGATTAGGAGGGTATAAACCGTCCATCACACGCTTTCACACGTGTGAAGGACGATTCAATTCATCAATTTCTTTCTTTTTTTTGTTCTAAATGTTTTCGAAATTCTATATTATATGTTCTCAAGGATAATATATGTGAACAATGCTATTTCTACGCCTATTAAACGTAGTTTTCATTGTATAACTCCATATGTGGTCTTAACGCAAGTACGTAATTATTAAAACTTTACTTTTATAATTTATTATAAAAATACTAACTATAAAACAATATAAAACACTTTCTAGTCAGTCATCATAATTAAAAAGTTGATTCTATATATCACAAACTTAACGCTTCTACAAACAAAAACAACGACATATCACTTTAACCTAATAATTTCTCTTGTTGCGATCCTACAAATCTCATTAAAATCTTCATGAAGATGACTCCTCCAAAATTTACATCTGCCCCATATCACAGCAGGATAATTGGGACTCTGAATACCTTGAAAAATTCTAGCCAGTGATCTACCAGTAAATTGATTATCTCGATACATGCAAATCATAGCTCTTATATCACTAACAAGTTGGTCTTCATTCATTTTTTTGGAAGGCAGTTTTTCTGTAATGTAAAAATAAAAATATTACAACACAGAATTAGATGACTATATAATTAAATGCTTATTAATACAGTTTTTTTCACGCAACTGTTTTTTACTGTTTAAAAATTTAAATGTTTTCAGTTTTTAAAAAATATATTTTTTTAATTTAACTGAAAGTAGCAACTCTTATGAAATACTTTAGCTGGTTATGATCTAATTGAGGAAATACTTGCCTTTTATGGCTTTTTACTAACAGAAAAATCTTAACTTCCAAATATTTTGAAATCTACGCGGAGGCTCCAAGGAGAACGGCATCAGTTTATATCGAAATTAAATTTTGGGAGCATATGTAGGTTAATTGAAAGCATTTTATAAAAAAATTTATACAGTTATACAAGGTGTCACCAAAAAAAGTTACACTTCAAAGTTGTGTGACGCAATGTGACCAACATAGGCAAGTATGTTGACATATCTCACACTTCGTGAAAATGAAGAGTAAATTTTAACTTTCAATAACAGCCAACTAAATTTTAATTTACCCCGTATAGCTTCATATTTAATTACAATAACTATTGTATTTTAAACCAAATTAAAATTTGACCCGAAAAGTTACACAGGGTGAGACAAAATTAATATGAAACATTGGTCACTTTTAAAAGCAAGTTAATCCTTTATTTTAAATGGAACACCCAGTATATTATTCCGGTGTTCAATGGGGAATTCATATATCTTCAAAATATTATTAAGGTTGCCTACCCCTCTGACAAAAAAATTCCCAAATATTTTAATTTGTTTTTATTTTGCGTCAGTAGATCTTCATTATTTCAAAAAATCTAGGTGGCTGTTATATACCTTTTGTTAACAAAAATTAAAGAATGTAGAGTAAAATACTCGTAATAAAAATATACACATTTAAAACATATTTTAGTTATTACAGAATATAAACGTATATATGTCAAAAATTAGCTAGTTGAAATCAAATGCTCAAAATGCTTCCTTTCCGGTTCACTACATAAAATGATCCTCTTTTCAAAAGCTCTTTTAAAAGCATATGCGGAGATCTACTTCGATAAGCAGCTACTCTCATTTCTCTCATGTTATCGACAATAGTTGGTCGAATTTTGTAAACACTGTCTTTCACACATCCCCATAAGAAAGACCAGGCTAGATAAAATCAGGAGCATTTATAAGTATTCTATAATTCTAATAATCTCATAAATTATAAACTAATAGAATTATATCAATTTCCTCTGATGTAGCATAAGTTTCCATTTTCAAAAAATTTGAGAATTTTTTTTTGTTTTAACTAAAGTGTGCGTTGAAAGGAGACAAAAACAATTTTTGGTGAGCCATAATTTGTTATTCGAACACCACTTTTCTCTTTGTCGGGTCGTTGACGTTGACTTGTCGCCATTTTATTTCTTTCGTTTACACGCTGCAGTTTGCTTTGCAAATTTAATACATAAATTATTTAGGCAAATGTAGGTTTTTGATAAAACTCCTCGGACTAACGTGTAGGTAAGTGTTAATATTTTTTTTTCATCTTAACATGCTCATTGTCATTCTCCTGATTTAGGTGACAGAAAAGGATCATCAAATCAAATTGAATTTTATATTTTTTCATCCCAGGACCGATAGTAAAATATATATTTTATGGATACCTTCGTAAATATCAACGAGATGAGCCATTGGAAGAAAGGGACCATAATACAAAACAGAAAGGTGATCTTTTTTCTTTCCACTTAGGATATTGAAATTATTATATACTGTAGTCGTGTTCGGCATTATGCTCTGAGAAATATAGATAAACAAAGAACAACAGATATAAAGCATCCCAGAGGAAAAGAGAGGCAATACCTGTACTCTCTCTGATATTTGTGAAAGTTACAGCAAAGTATTGTTGTAAATGTCATCTTTTTGATCGACCTGAAAACTTCAAGCAAAAAGATGACACTTTCAACAATACCCTGACAGATATCGGAGACGATACAGGTTTTTCCTCTCTTTCCCCTGGAATACTTTTAATTTATTATACTTTGTTTATCTAGATTTCTCAGAGCACTATGAACGAACTCAGCTTGTATGTTTGAAATAATCGTCCAGTTGGCTTAAAATGATGATCAATGACATTTCCCATATAATTTTACTTTCAAAATTATGATATATATCTTCGTTTCTAAGCCAACTATGACGCCATTTTTTTTCAGTTTTGTTATAATTAATTTTGTCTCTTCATCTACTTGTAACATTATTCTTTTAATTTTATTAATTTATTGTGGTGAAATTCATTTCTGTTGTATATTTGATATTGATATTAAACATATTTTTAAAAAATGGTGTATTTTTTGTGTTTTTATCTATGTCATAATTAAAAATAAATGATGAATTATTTTTTTTTATTTTTTTAAACTTCCCACCATGCGTGACAATCTAGTCCGTAGTTCCTACAAGCGATATTGGGGGCGCTAGTAGCAGTAGACTTGTCAACAGTGTCAAATTTAAACGTCAATTTCACTTTCCAATATTTAGCAAGGCGCTAGCACTTCTTCTTGTGTATGTGTTTTGTGCAAGACAGGCTGTAGTGTCGTGACCAGGGAATTGCACCAAGGCATATAACGATGCCGGACGTGGCTATCCTGTCCGTCATCCCAGGCACCCCCTACTGTCTGTGGTCATGTCTCAAGGTTAGAAGATGTGGGGGGGTCTTGGCTTTACCGCCCGGGCCAAGAGGAGACAACCTCACCAAAAACCTAAATCCTAAGATGGCGGGACCAGGTCAAAGGGATGCGTGGCTAGATAGAAGACTAACCTATACTGGCTATTATATATTGGAGAACACTCTGTAGAACGCTCTGTATTTTTTGAACAATGCGCTAAATTAACCTACATTTCTTGACAAAATTTCAATTCAATACAAACTGTCATTCTCCATGGAGCCTCCGCGTCGCACACAGGGCTAGAATTAAAATCTAAGTGGTAAAAAGTAACCTTTAGAAATGTTTTTTTTTATAATATTATCTCATTTAGTAGAACCACAGAATATCTAGCTACGCAATAGAAGCCTCGTTACATGTATAAAATTGTAGGTAGCAAAAGGAGACAGGCTTTAAAAGCCTGTCTCCAAATCAGATATTTTGATGTGGTAGTTTCGCTACTACATAATAGAGGGCAATAAATTTAAAAGAAAACAGTTTTCTACAAACAAAATTTAAAAGGATTTTGTGCAGTGTTGCCATTGTGTAATTCATATCGTAATACTTCCTGATAAAGCCTACCTTCAAATTTGCTACATCATTTAAACATATTAAAATAGATCAGAGCTGTTTTTTTCAGTTTGCCATGTTAGTTGGAATTAAATCTTATGAGCTAAATTACAATCACTTCTTGACGTTTAATTGTATAATTGAATCCTGAATTTTCATTGTAATTCGGCCACAATATAATAAGTATTGTTCTACTATTATGATACCACTTCCTGACGTTCGATTGTGTTCATACCAAGTTCATATCGTATAATCGGGAAAAAACGGCGTTAGCGATAGCTATGAAATGAATATCGCTGTCATTTTATATGTAAATTTATATGGGAAATGTCATCGATCGTCCTTTTCCAGTCACTGGACGCCGTTTTTTTTCAGAAGCATATCAAGTGATACCATAATATAGTACTATATTACGATACATGGCGTTCGATTGGGCTTAAACTTGGTATACTATATCTTCAGTGACATTGTAATATCATGGTACCATGGAGCATATAAAGTGGTACCTTCTATAGTACCATATTTGATGACATAGCAATATTAGGTACATGGCGGCAATAGGGCTTAAACTTGGTATACTACGTATTTTCGGTGACATTGTAATATGATGGTACTATGATGCATATCATCTGGTACCATAATAGAGTACCATATTATGTACATGGCGTTCGATTGGGCTTAATTTGGGATACTACGTATCTTCGGTGATATTGTAATATTATGGTACCATGGAGCACAATAAGAGGTACCATAATATAGTACCATATTACGATACCATTGCCTGACGTTCGATGGGGCTTAAACTTGTTATACTACGTATCTTCGATTACATTGTAATATGATGGTACTATGATGCATATAAAGTGGTACCTTAATATAGTACCATATTTCAATACCATTTCCTGGCGTTCGATTGAGCTCATATTTGATATATACTTGCGTATTTTTGATGACATTGCATTATTATGGTACCATGAAGCATATCAACTGGTACCATAATATAGTACTATATAACGTACATGGTGTTCGATTGGGCTTAAACTTGGGATACTACGTATTTTCGGTGACATTGTAATATGATGGTACTATGATGCATATAAAGTGGTACCTTAATATAGTACCATATTACGATACCATTTCCTGGCGTTCGATTGGCTCAAACTTGGTATACTACGTATCTTCGGGTTACATTGTAATATGATTGAACTATGATGTATATAAAGTGGTACCTTAATATAGTACCATATTACGATACCATTTCATGGCGTTCGATTGTTCTTAAATTTGGTATACTACGGATCTTCGGTGACATTGCAATATTATGGTACCTTAAAGCATATCGAGTGGTACCATAATATAGTACACTATTATGATATTATTTCCTTGAGTTCGATTGGGCCCAAATTTGGTATACTTGCGTTTCTTTATAAAGATTTGTTTAATTAATAATTTTAATTTATTTTACGAATTTTAATTTATTGTTCGATGTCGTGACAGCAACTTTTATGCCGAACTAATATATTATTAATTGTACCTGTGTCACTTTTTAAAATTTACCTAGGTCTATATAAATAACGTGGCAAACGGAATAAATTTGTTATTATAGTATTTTTTAGTCAGTTAACATTTTTTCTACTGCATTTTAATAAATTATTTCCATTATTATTAAACTTATATTTCATTACTAACGTTCCAGCATTAATAAATATCACTATCAATCGCCCTGTATATTATTAATTTTAAAGGTAATTAAAGGTATTTTCTTAGTTAACATTATAAGGGAGTGTATATTAAAAATGTATATGTTTTGTAATAATATACTTAAAACTATTTTAATAGCCGAAGGAATAATTAATATAAGTGTATCTGACAAGAAAAGAAGAAGAATAGAAAGAAACACATACTGCACTATACACAGTAAAAAGAATGGGATGCCAATTCAAGTCTTTTTGAATCTGGCAACTGTGCATATTTAGCCGAGCTTCAAGGCCGTCGACGTGCCGTCGATCCAAAACCGAAAATTGAAAATTTCCAATTATATTCTGATTATGATATTGTCGCGCCATCTAGTATTCTATTTGTGCAATTTTAGCTCTTTCATTTCGAGTATTTTTCTGTTGCGTAGCTAGATATTCTGTGGTAGAACATTCCAACTAGATAAAAAATAATAATCAATTAGAGTTATATCTCCTAGTTTTTCTTTTGCAAATAAATAAACTCGTACTTTAATTTAAATTTGATGGTTATGCTTAATTTCCATAAGAAAATCGTTTTATTATTCTGCTAATCTAACATAGAAGGCTGTGGAAAACAAATATAGTAGGTAATAGGTACTATTCTTGCTTCCTCTAATAAGAATTAATAGAAAATAATCACATTTTTTAAGATTGCAAGCTAAAAAATTCTTAAAACTAGTAATGTACTTATTACCACTTACTTTCCTACTTTAACCCACAGTGCGTCGTATGAGAGATGCCACTCTGTACAGACGACGTATTTAGAATGATCAGACCCCCGGTATAATATATAGGTACCTACCTATAGAGGCTAGAGGATCCGAGGAATTAAAATACTCTCGAATTTTTTGTTTTAGAACGTCTGTACTTTTTTCATAACCCTCTTCAGTGTTTACACATGAATTATAAGACTTTTCAGCAACCTCTAATAGAGTTTTATGAACAGCGTGTAACTGTTTCAAAGCTTTCGTTTCTTGATCTACAACTTGTTTATGCAAACTATCTAAACCTTCATCTAATCGTTCATCGCTCAAGTTGCCAGGTGCCAGTAGTCTAAATCCCAGGTTTGAAAACTGAACACTTAGTGCGGATCTTTTCTGCTGATTGTTAACTGCAAGGAAAACATTTAAATTAAAATTAAATCTAGCAGGACACAGTTTATTGATAAAATTTTAAACATTTTGTTAATGAAGCTTTAAAATTACCTGTTATCCATTCTAAATTCTTTAATTTATGTTTACAAATTCCACTCTCCCAACCCATTGCGCTGGCAACTTCAATTATCGGAAACTCTAAAATATTTTCTTCGCCTGGTTTGCTCTTATAAAGCGCCAAAGCCATCGCCAAAGGTGGACAATCTTTGGCCGCTTTCCTTATTTGTAGTACACCACCATAGGAAATAACTTTACAAATTGTATAAGCTGGATTTAATAGTTCTGAAAATTTGATCATATTAATTAATACAATCGTTATATTTGCAAATATATACTAATTATTACATTATTAACTTTATATCAAAAATCTTAGGTACACCGCGATGGGCCTCAAATATGGCCGACTTAAATTCCGGTTTATTAGTGTCGTTCTAATTTTATTTAAAAAATGTAAAACTATGATGTAGGGTAGACGTGGGGTAGACTCAATAATTTGTTGTTTTATTTTACGTTGTGAATAAATGTTGGTAGTTATTAAAATTGTTATAAAAATATATAATTCTAATAAAAATAGATAAGTTATAATAAGTATTTATTAACACAAACATCCGATACGCTACTGAAGCAGGTAAGTCAAATTAACGTATCTAAAAGCTGAAATGCAAGAAAAATATATAATTTAGTAAATTTAAGTGAATTTCATAAATGATCGGTTTACTACACGTATGTATATTATATATCAGTATGTATGTTATATCATCATCTAGTCACTTACTAGAGCGAAAAGTTGTTCCATTATTTCACTCGATTTTTGCCGAGATCTACCGCACGCTACACAACCAACTATTTTAGAGTCTTTTTCGATAAATCGCGATAGTGTCACTGTTAATTTAAGTTCTGCCACAATTTCCATCTAGATTTACTACCTTTATACAATTATCAGTAGTAGAATAAATGATAAATAACATAAAATAAGCTCCGTACAGACTGACAAATCCACAAAATTTCAAATCAAATTCAAATGTGTCAAATGAATCGTCAAACAGAACTGTCAAGGATCCCCACCCTAGAGTACTTTTTCCGCCCACCATGCATTAATACATGGATAGCATTATGCTCCTTCCTTAGTCTTCTTATTCAAAGATTATTAACATGTAATAATTAGTATACCGGGTGCGTCTGAAAACTGGCTCACCCCTAACCAAACCAAACCAAACTTTTTTATTTTTTTCAGTCAAAAAAACCAGATTTGGTATGTTAGTATGTGACATAAATTAGGATTGATTGACGTATTCAATTGTTTTCGGTCACTTCCTGTGTCACCGGAAATGACTACAACTTTAGAATTTTAAATGACATCCTCGGTATATTTCTACTTTATTGGATAAAAAATGACACTCTAAACAAAATGACATATCATATGTCGACTTTTGACATTTTCGCATATGTTTTTTTTGAAATTATAACTTGCGGTTCCTAACGAAAATTTCACTCGAAATACAAAGTGTGTGGTATCAAATTATTTGTAAAAAAATGCTTTTCCCAAATATGATAATGAGCCACCCTCGTTCCATTTGAAAAAAATTGAGATATGATTAAAAATACGATTTGAGAATTTTTATGCGGTCAGGACAAGACACTAAAAACACTAGATGATCAAATCTATATTTCCAAGGCTCCTTGATTAAAAATTAGTGTTTTTAACATAGTCATGGCACTCGATTGAAATTTAAAATACGATTTTTGATTAAGCGAGAATGTCAAAAGTTGACATATGATATGTCATTCTATTCAGAATATAATTTTCTATCGAATAAAGTAAAAAAATACCGACGGTGTCATTTAAAAATCAAAAGTTGTAGTCATTTCCGGTGGAACAGGACGTGACCAAAATCAATTGAATACGTCAATCAATCCCAATTAACGTCATATACTAAATTTCGTTTTAATAACCCTAATAAACCTAAATAAACCTCTGAAAAAAATAAAAAAGTTATAGGGATGAGCCACTTTTGAGACGCACCCGGTATATTTCTAAATATAACGATTGTATTTAAAGTAAAGATATAACAATACAACACCTTTTATTTATAACATAAATATCTAAAATACCTGGGGACAATAAAATCACTGTACAGGGTGGATCAAATTCGACGCTTTTAAATGGAAACACCCTTTTCTATAGGAGATAGACAAAAACTAATATCGGTGTCTGGAGCTCAATTTTCATCAAAAACATGATGGTGAAAACCGCGCATCAATATCTGTTACTGTTTCGGAGTTACGGGGTGTTTTTCAAAAACGTGCATTTTTAACAAATCGCTGTAACTTTTTTGCTCTGAAAAATTTTGTATTTCTATGAAAACATTTTCAAAGCACCTTTTTACGTAGAATTTAATGGTTTAAGTATAATTATTTTAAAATTAATAATTTAAGAGTTATCAACAAAAAAAATGATTTTTTATTTGGGACACCCTGTATATTTTTAATTAACTGAAAAGAATTTAAAATTACCTTTCCAAAAATATAGCACACTTGATATTTTTCCACATATTTTTCTAGCAAGACAACAGCACCGCCTCTGAAAGCTGAAGTTAGCAGCAAATTTTTGCAGCCAATTTCAAGAATAATTGGATAGCTAATCAAGATCCCAGCCGTTGGCCGTCGAGGCCACCTGACTGCCTGACTTAGTGCCCATAGATCTAATCCTATGGATATATTTGCGGAAGAATAAAGGTTCCTTATTCTTCCGTATAATCTAGACAAGAATTAAAAATACTTAGCAGTTATGAGAGGGTATCTTTCACCCCCACTGAGTTAATGAATTCCGCGAGAAATTTTCAAAAACTGTCCCGTCTGTCCATAACAGAAGAGGGTTGATATGTCGAACACCTGTAGCAAAATCTGATGTCTTGGTTTGCTATTTATTTTTATTGTTAATAGATAGTTTAAATGTGTTGATGTTGGTTAAATTTATTTTAAATTGTTATAAAATTCTGCATCTCTCATAGCAAGTATTATTTTCGTTTTAATTGATGCTCACAGCTAGAATTTTTTTGGATTACAGCCGGTGCCGTTCAATGCCTACTTATTTAAAGCGGGCGAATTTTTATATACTCTATATCTCAAAGAGGAATCGAGCAAAATATCAAGTGTATTATATTTTCGGAAAGGTAATTTTAAATTATTTTCAATAAATTAAAAATATACAGGGTGTCCCATATAAAAAATCAAATTTTCTGTAGATAATTCTTAAATTATTAATTTTAAAAATATTATACTTAAACCATTAAATTCCACGTAAAAAGGTGCTTTGGAAATGTTTTCATAAAAATACAAAATTTTCGATAGCAAAAAAGTTACAGCGATTTGTTAAAAATGCATATTTTTGAAAACACCCCGTAACTCCGAAACGGTAACAAATATTGATGTGCGGTTTTCACCATCATGTTTTTGACAAAAATTGAGCTCCAGACACCGATATTAGTTTTTGTCTATCTCCTATAGAAAAGGGTGTTTCCATTTAAAACCGTCGAATTTGACCCACCCTGTACAAGCTGTCGTTTGATTGCTTTTCATCAAAAAGTTTCGAAACTTATGTTCAAAATACAGCACATCAAAACTAACAAATTCCATCAAAAAAAAATTATCACTTCCTCTTTAAACGAAAGTGGACTTTCTCTGAAGTATTTTAAAACGCCCATAGAAGCAAGGGATTTTTGAAAGATATGTTCCTCCGCAGTCTATACCTTTCATTAATATCTGTAGGTTAGTGGACTACATGCTTTTAATTTTATTCATGTTTGTTTCCACATATATTATATTTTACCACGATATTTTAAACTTTAAAATGTAGGATAGCACGATGAATTCGGCCAAAAATCAAAAGATTTTGACATTAACTTCGAGGTTAATACCCTTTAGAATCGCGTATGAAAGATCAGATATACACGTTTGTGAATACCAAAATATCTGTACTCTGAACGACCGATTCGCCGGATATGGAATTTCATATCTGGACTGCGGGACTGATCGCTTTAAAATCCCTTGCGCGTATGGGCGGCTAATGACTGCATTACTGGTAACCTATGCCTGTTAATACTTTAGTGCTTAGTAGCTTTAGTTTTTAGCGAATTAGCTAATTTAAGAGCTTTTTTGACGATATTTTAAATTTTCTATGTATGTATACAGGGTGTTCCAATACTCCGTGGACATTTTATATAAAGTGTAAACAGAAACTGTTATAGTCCGGTCGACATTGATTTTGGAAATAAAATTTCCAAAATCTTTTATTTAAGGCAATACAATCTACATCTAAATATATAAAATTTAAGATTACATTGTACTAGTAAATATAGAAACATTGAAAATCAATCATTGTTGTAATATAATTGTTAATAAATATTTGACAATGTTTTAAATAAAGTCTGTTCAGCAAGAAAAGGAATAATTTTGACAGACAACGTTCAAAAAAGAGAGAAATTTAGTTTTGAATGAAAATGACTGAAAATATTATTTTGTTGAACAGACTACGAGTATATTTACTTACAGTGCGACAACTGAATGAAGGGCAACGACGTCTGAGGCAGCAGAGGGGAAGCGTGTAAAAAATCTAGTCATGTCATAGGCGTGCAAATTTATTTTAATCAGATTATTATTAAAAATATTAATCAGTTTTAATAAGTACATTGGAAGTAAATACAAATTTTGGTAATTATTTACTTAGATAATAATAGATATACTTAATATAATATTAGGTATAAACTAAGAACGCTGTGGTATTTTTGGTATTTTTTAAACTGAGTCTTAAACTTTAAATGACTACCTAATAGGTACTTATCTAATAAAAAACAAATAGGTAAAAAAACTCAAAACATTTGGAAATAAATAAATAATATTAAAAAGTATTATAATAAACTATGAACGGTCGAAACCTAAACTCTAAATTATAAATGTCTCTTTGGTAATTTAAGTACTTAACTATTAAATAAAAAACAAAAAACAAATACTAGGTCTATGAAACACCCTGTACATATAAGAGTCTAATTTTCTTTATCACTTTCATCGTCAGTGTAGGTGTCGGAATCATCATCACTGCTGTCATTATCAGTTTGAATAATTAGAGGTTCCACTTCTTCCATGTACTGGTCAACCTCCCAAAATGTATTTTCAATGTTGATTACGTTTTTATTTTTTATTTCTGGATTTTCTCTTCAAAATGCGGGATAAAATTTTGTATACCTAGGTGCAGCTGATTAAAAAAAAATTATACGACTTGATTCGCTTATTTTTTATTTTAAGCAATGTATTATTTTTATGTCTCTATTCTTTATTCTTGATATTTTTTATTAACTTGCAGTAAGTTGAGTTAATTTTGTTTTTGAAAAAAATCCCCTTTGTTGCAGTCTTAATGGACCTCACTTTACCAAAAACAGAAATAAAACTCTTATGGTCATGATTAGATAAATAAATTAAATTAAACTGGTTTCAAAAATTACCACTTGCCCTAATATTATTAACTATTCCAAAAACGTCGTTACTTTGCCAACATTTTCTAAAAGTTAAATCATTATCCAGCCATGTCTCGTCAATGTAAATTATGTTACGTCCTTCTTCTCTGTATTTCCGAATTGACTTTATATATTTATACCGCCAATGAAGAATTTTTTTGGCATATCCTTTTTAGCATTTCCGAAAATGAAATCCATTGGCCTTTAATAGCATCCTCAATGTTTCGCGACTATACGGAGAATTCATTATTTCTCGCAGCTTAAGGAGTAATTTTTTAAATGTAGGAACGACTTTTAGCTCCAAATAAAACTTTTTTATTGTTTGTCTAATGACAGGAAAATCTTCGAAGTCTTTCATAAGAGACAAGCGGGTTTTCTTCTTAGGTGGTGATGACAGCATCTCAGCTGGACGTTCCCGTTGCCGCTCCTCATCTCTATGAATTTTGCGGACTGTTTTTTGAGAAACCCCGGTATATAGAGACACGCGATCAATTTTTCTTTTTAAGGGTAATTTAAAAGCATTGTTTCTGGCCTCTTCATCGCAAACTCTATATACATTAGCGATAATTTCCCTAGATTGGCCAGCAAGGGGTTTCCTTTGTAAAAAAATATTTCGTTCCATTATTAAAAAAAAACTATTTAAGGTTTAAGGATTGCGAAAACCCTACAAATATAAATGTATCAGGAAATGTGTCATTTATATATGACATTTTTTCATGCAAATACTTACTTTATTACACAAAACAACCAAGAACGAGTCCAGTTAATAAGTGTAACAAAATAAACGAATTATAAATTAACCAAACCAAACAACTATTACTAATTAAAAAACGCAGTTGGAACTTTTTCCGCCTACGCCTGTGACCAAAGTTCGGCAACGGCTTCCGATCTCAGGTAGGTACACAATTTAATTTTTTGTCTCCTAGGAATAATCTCTCATCCTCTCACTCTGGCCCACGGCGAAAAATCGCCCGAGGCAGCGCTTTTGCCAGTTCTATTTTGTAGTAAGTATATTTGAAATAGTTTTTTAAATAATAAGTGGTAATAGTAATTTTATTCTGCATTTCCCCATGTAAATAAAATAGCAAATCCCAGAAGACAATACTACTGAGAAAATTCATAAGGTTAAGTAATGAAATAGAAATTTAAAATTTGTACTTCTAGTCTATACAAAATAAATTAGGATTATTACGAGAAAATTGTGACAACATCGTAAAATGCAAGGAAGTTTTTTGCTCGCATTCTTTCGACCTCCCTTCATTGGATTGTCAGACTGTAAGTGTTTTATGAAATAACATAAATAAGTAAATGTTTAATGTTTGTGTATCAGGATATCTGTATTAATATACAGTAAACACTCACTGTGGTACTATTTTGGATTGGAACAAGAATAACGTTTCCATTTTAATAAAAAATGTAATTATTACCTATATATTTGTGTTCATGTAACTCAAGATAACACAAAAGTGTGGAGATATTTTCCTCTGGTATGTCCAACGCTTTTACTGTTTCGTCTATAGAAAAACCCACTTCATGTTTTGGGCAAACATCTTTGCAGGCGCAAGGAACAAAAATCTTTTTGAGCAGTTTTCGGATAACATGTCGATCTATCGAATTTCCATAAATATGCCGGCAAAGCTCATTTTCATCTCGGCCCTAAAAATAACACTACATTATGTATGATGTATAACCCTATAACATTATAGATAGATAGAACTCTTTATGTATAGTAGAGACTAAAATATGCTGTAAAATCTCAGACCATTTAATTCACTTTTAAAAGTTTACGTTTTATTTTACATAATAATAAAAACTGACAATGTTTAGAGAAGATGATTTTCCTTACCCTCTACCCTCCATGGTTCAGAGTTAAATAAAAATAAACGCATTGTATATATTTACCGCCTACATATTTCGTCCCCTATATCACATACTGGTGTAACTCGCATTTAGCAAAATTGTCAGGAAATAAGAAAATCAAAAATTAAAATAATAAGAATAAAAATACTTATCACTGCCTTGATACCGTGATAGATACACTGACAGCACGTAATGAGATAAAATATGAGTATATGCCTGTAAGGTTGGTCTTAAGAGGCTTGTTTAATGCAATCTAATTTAAAGTGAAATTAGCTAAGAAAGATAAGAATAATATCTAAGAAATAATAACTCAGTAATTTTTCGAAAATAAACATATTATAGCTTATATCGCTGAAAAGCTTAAAAAATGGCGCTTTTTATGAAGCCATGGCCAACTATGGTTTCCATTTAAAAAAAAACATATGTTTGTGTCATATGTCAAAAATGACAGGCTTTAGAAAAAAACGGAGGACACAATCTCATTAAGGATGTGATTATCTACAACTTTGATCTGAAAACTTTTTCTCTAAAATAGATTATAACGGAATTAGAGACGATTTTTAAAATAGCAAAAATTTGTTTTTTTCGAAATATCAAGTAAATCATGAACTTTTTCAAAAATCTGAAAGGAGCATATTTATGACCCCACAAAACTGCAATTCTTTCCCCATTTAACCGACTCTCTATCTCCAATAGTTTCCGAGATACCCATAGAGAACATCGTAGGAAAGTCACCCTGTATTTCAGTTGTCTAGGAAGCAAACATGTCGTAAATATGTCTATCTATCAATCATAAAGTAAAGAAATATATTTTTCTATAGCTAAATAAGAAAAATTACCTGTGAATCCAAGAAAACATGACAATATGATGGCAACCCATCTCTTCCAGCCCTTCCAACTTCTTGTACATAACTTTCGAAACTGTTAGGCATATTAAAATGAATGACAGCCCTTATATCAGATTTGTTAATGCCCATACCTGTAAGTTAGCAATTAATTTATGTAGATTTTATGTTGATTAAATGCATATTTATATATAATTACAGACTAAACCTCCGTGACCTAACTGATTGATGCCTGTAGCTAAGTATGTAGTAGGATATCCAAAGATATCACATACGGTCGTATTCATAGTCGATCGCCAGCCTCCCGCTGGCGGGAGCTTACCCGAAATTCTTCGTTCTTATTTCAGAGTCGAGCGCTCTCCGAGTAACGCGTGCGCACATCCGTCATATAGAGTAACCGCTCCACAGTGCTTCGAACATATGGCTCTAGAGGACAAAAATCCAAAACTTCTCTTTTATTGTAAGCAATTTATTCAAACTAGGTTTATTTGACACAAATGATGAGTACTCCCATTGTACTAAATGATGATGTTCTTAGTCCCACGTTTATGAAAAAAAAATCTTATAAATAATAATAATGTTGGAGCTGTGTTCCATCTAAGCAAATAATAAGTTATAGTATGACAACGGTGTAAGTATTAAATAAATTCCTGTGATAAAAAAGAATTGAAATAACATTAGAACATGATTCCTACAATATAAGCCTAATATAAGATAAAAATGTTTTTCTTTAATGAAAAAGAAACATTAATGTTATATTTAATTAAAAAAAAAATTAAGATGCTATAAATTTACTTTAGGACAACAAAATGCATAGATCGTAACTACTCTGATTCAGGAGAATCACTGCTGACAGAATCTTCTAAATTTATAGTATCTAAATCACAGGTAGATGAAGTATCCTCACATATAAGATATTTCTGTACATCATTTTCTAATATGTTACTTTTTCGCGTTGTTACTGTTCATTTTGTCGGTATGAGGGGTTCGGATGTTAATAGTTACCTCTTTAATAGACCATATGCATATATTATTTTTTCCTTTTCTTGGGTATGAGATTTTATAATAAACTGAAAGATGGACACTTTTTTTATTCGACGTTTCGCTCCAACATAGTGGACTTTTTCAGGCACAAGTGGTGTCTCATTTGACTGGAAGGTTCATCAATATCTAATAAGAACATATTTTTTGAAATACTAATAATTTTGAGTTCTTGTCCTTATGATCAAGCCAAGTATTAGCCAGATCGGCATTGCTTATCAATCTTACTCCATCTGAAAAGTATTATAAAATAAAGTTCGTCGCAAGCAGACGCAGGTGAACTATACAAAAATTAAAAGTGTATGAATATGGCAACAAAAATATTCAATAAATACGATATGTTTTGATATGTTTTTTTTAAATGCCTTTTTGAAGTTTGAAAACGTAAAATTTTATACCCATTTAAGAATCATCTTAAAAATAAATAAAAACTAAACAATCACGAACTTGTTTAGAAATAAATTTAAAAGTACATACCTTATTTAACAATATCCATAGTGGCTTTCAATTAAGAAATGCACCCGTTTAACTCCATAATATACAGAACTACTATGAATGTTATTCTTTTCACTGATGAGATAATGATCGCAAAATTTATTTTTAGTGAAAATATTTGCTAACAAAAACGCTGTTTATGAAAAATAATATACAGGATGGTTGAACATTGCTATAAGTATAAAATTATATATTCAGATATTAGTAAATTTTAACTTATTTTTTGATTTTTGTCCATGGGACGAAGCACTGTGCGCTCTCTCGCCGGCGGGCGGTTGGATAAGCATTTTTTTTCCGTTTCATAGTCGATCTCCAGGCGAAGAACACTTGCGCAGTTTAAACCCCATCCGGTGATTTTCGGGCGGCGACTGGAGCATGTCCTTACCATCTCCGGGCGGCCCGCCAGTTTAGTCTGGTTTATTTCTCTAGTTGAAAGAATCACCAAACAAACTGAATTAATTGTGGATATTTATAATATTGTGACGATTAACGAGAACGATGACATTCATATTTTTGAGGCCATTATTCATCACATTTGAGGCATATGAATTCCGTCCGTCTATTTGACCATTTAAATGTTTTATCGGTTTGTTTTTGTTATGTTTATGATTTTTATTTTTCCTATTATTTTTACGTTTATTACATTAATTCTCTTTGTAATTTACATAAACTGGAAAAAATATACCAAATTCACAAAACATCAGTCATCTACACAAAACAAAAATAGAGCCATTTTAAAAATATAAATTACTTCTACTCTGGTCATATCTTCCCTTAAAATAATTTTAAAATCCTTAACACAGCACCAATAGGTTAAGGTTATGGTCTATAAAAATTTATAAACGTAATAAAAACGAATCCATAAAACTTTCAAATAAAACCGAACAGACCTATGGAATTCCCCATTATGTAAATTATTAACTTAATATCCTTTTTATTATGACCCAAAAATACACCTAGCCAAAAAAATATGTATATAAAAAATTGTAAATCTTTTTACTATAAGTGATGGATTACGAAGATATTATTCATTACTTGAAAACGAATTATAACAAAATAATGGACACATCAATAAAATATTTAAATTATTAATATTTAAATATTTAGAGAATGTTAAAGTTCGTATAGTCTATAAAATGAATAACTTTGAATTTTGACCGTTATTTTTTACCAACATTGGCAAATATAAAATCCCTCTGTCAAAAAAGTTACTGATATTCTTTAAATTGAGTGCCTGAACGAATCAGATAGGTAACTCTTTTTACTTTCGTGAAATAGAAAAGGAAAATAATAAAACAAGTGACAGTTCTTCCTCTTCTTGCAAAAATCAACACGAAATGTCATAATTGTCAAAAGTAAAATGTTATCAGCTTTTGACATTTCTAAATATCAGACCAATGCCGTCTTTAATAGAACAGCCTTGGAGCGAGATTGATGACGTCACACTAGTTAGATACTACGGATTATTAAACATGTTGTAGAATACATGGAAAACATAATTATTCCTCCTATTTTTGGTTTGTATTTTAAAAATGATATAGTTTTACATGAAATATACATAATATACAGTTAATAAATACAACATATATACCTAATTATAGTAATAAATACTTTGACAAATAAATTATGAACCATACAAATGCAGCAAATGTTTTACAAAATACTAATGATAAATAGGTACATAAGATAATGGGTAAAATGTAAAATATATTTTAAATTTTGGGGTTTGAAAATCGATCTAATTGAACAAAAAACATTCAATATCTACTAATAGTGATGTATTATTATTTGCATTCACAAAATTTATATGTACATTTTGCAAATATCAATGTTCGAAAAATTATATTTGCAAATAATACAATACCATAGAAAAAAAGGCGTCAGCGATGGCTATGAAATAAAGATCGCTGTCATTTTATATGTAAAATTATTCTAAAATTTTCTGATTAAGTTTCATTATTTTTATTTGGTTTAAAAAAACGTTTCGGCTAACACATTATAGCCTTCTTCAGTGTTGTGTCATATGAATAAAATAGTGTCGAATATAATCTAAAAAATTACATACGTTTATACAATATATTGTATTTATTAACTGTATATTACTTATGTACATTTCATGTAAACTATATCATTGTTAAAATACAAACCAAAAATACGTGGAATAATTATGTTTTCCATGTATTCTACAACAAATTTATTAATCCGTAGTATCTAACTAGCGTGACGGCATAAATATCGCTTCGAGGCTGTTCTATTAGAGACGGCATTGCGTTAGCATGGCCGCAAGTTGCTAACCTAATAAAATTAACACTAGAAAAGCCCGCGGGACATGTCAAATTCAAAGTTATTCGTTTCACAGACTATATAACTGATTTTGTGTAGAAAAGGGAAGAAAACATGTTCCCTGTTGTTAAAACCCTCCACCCGAAGTGAAATTTTGTTGGCGACGCGCCGTCATTTTCGCCAGCCAGCGGTGCGCTGGCGGCCGACTATGAAAGAGCTTTTTTTCTCTCCCGATATCGAAGCGCTCGCCGGAGAAATCTTCGGCGAGCGCTTCTTTTCGGCGGGAGGCTGGCGCTCGACTATGAATACGGCCGATAGAGTAACTACTATATGGATTATCCCCTATACCTGCAATGTGTTGGAATTGAAGTCAATCGAGTCAAAGACAACTAGATACCCGTTTCATGTATATTTCATATAAGTTCTCCTGTTATGTAAGTACTGGCGTTTCGCCAGTACCAAGTCCACAATTCCGAAAATCGATTGGCCATGGGCAAACGAAAGACGTCAGAACAAATTTGAATTTTGAATAACTGATGCTAGTGTCTAGTCATCAAATCGATAAATCAAAACCCACGCTTGCGCACTACGCTTCTACCAATTCTTACCAAATAAACTTTTAGTCACGTGATTAAGCTTGCGATTTTTAAATTCGTTGTTGCCAACCATGAACATATTCGGCGCCGTGCTTACTAACTGAAATTTAAATTTTACGCTGGGGATTCAGGTGGTAGCTCTGCTATAAAAAATGTCAAGTTGCTGCATTTATTTATTTACTTCCTACCTGGCAGTCGAACATTGTCCTTTTTAGAACCTCTTGTAGTGCGAAGTGTACAGGGTGGGTCAAATTCGACGCTTTTAAACGGAAACACCCTTTTCTATAGGAGATAGACGAAAACTAATATCGGTGTCTGGAGCTCAATTTTCATCAAAAACATGATGGTGAAAACCGCACATCAATATCTGTTACCGTTTCGGAGTTACGGGGTGTTAACTTTTTTGCTATGGAAAATTTTGTATTTCTATGAAAACATTTCCTAAGCACCTTTTTACGTAGAATTTAATGGATTAAGTATATTTTTTTAAAATTAATAATTTAAGAGTTATTAACAGAAGAAATGATTTTTTATTTGCGACACTCTCTATATTTTTAATTAACTGAAAAGAATTTAAAATTACCTTTCCAAAAATATAGCACACTTGATATTTTGTTATAATCTCCTTCGAAATACAGAATTTTTAAAAGTTCGCCGCTTTTAACTAGTAGGCTTTGGACCCCTTATTGATGATATGCCTTTAATGGAACTCGAAAACATATTTTTCCAGCAAAACGACGCACCGCCTCTGAACGCTGAAGTTATCAGCAAATTTTTGCAGCCAATTTCAAAAATAATTGGATAGCTAGCCAAGATCCCAACCGTTGGCCGTCGAGGCCGCCTGACTTAGTGCCCATGGATCTAATCCTATGGATATATTTGCGGAAGAATAAAGGTTCCTTATTCTTCCGTATAATCTAGACAAGAATTAAAAATACTTAGCAGTTATGAGAGGGTATCTTTCACCCCCACTGAGTTAATGAATTCCGCGACAAATTTTCAAAAACTGCCCCGTCTGTCCATAACAGAAGACGGTTGATATGTCGAACACCTGTAGCAAATTCTCATGTCTTGGTTTGCTTTTTATTTTAATTGTTATTAGATATAGTTTAAATGTGTTGATGTTGGTTAAATATATTTTAAATTGTTATAAAATTCTGCATCTCTCATAACAAATATTATTTTCATTTTAATTGATGCTCACAGCTAAATTTTTTTTGCATTACAGCCGGTGCCGTTCAAAGCCTACTTATTTAAAGCGGGCGAATTTTTATATACTCTATATCTCGAAGAGGAATCGAGCAAAATATCAAGTGTGTTATATTTTTGGAAAGGTAATTTTAAATTATTTTCAATAAATTAAAAATATACAGGGTGATATAAAAAATCAAATTTGCTGTTGATGATTCTTAAATTATTAATTTTAAAAAAAATATACTTAAACCATTAAATTCTACGTAAAAAGGTGATTTGGAAATGTTTTCGTAAAAATACAAAATTTTCCATAGCAAAAAAGTTACAGCGATTTGTAAAAAATGCATATTTTTGAAAAACACCCCGTAACTCCGAAACGGTAACAGATATCGGTATGCGGTTTTCACCATCATGTTTTTGACAAAAATTGAGCTCCAGACACCGATATTAATTTTTGTCTATCTCCTATAGAAAAGAGTGTTTCCATTTAAAAGCGTCGAATTTGACCCACCCTGTACAAGGCAAATATACTCAAAGTGGTTTGCCATTGCCTTCCTTGAGGTGGCGGCTCGTTGGTCGCTCTATTTAGACAAATAAATATTTTTATTTAAATAAATAAACCGACCGTACTGGCTGGGGATCGAACCCAGTACTTTCCGCTCCGCAGATCGACACACTAACGCTAGAGCTACGGCCGGCATAATAACACACATTATAGTTATCAAATACAGCGCCGCCGCATTTTCGCTATATGTGCTTATAATTTATATTACTTACCAAACGCAACTGTCGCTACAACAATACGCAAATCACCAGACATAAAGGCATTCTGGACTGTTCTCCTTCGAGACGCTGACAGACCTGCATGATACGGTTCCGCTTGTAAATTCAATCTCTTACGTTTCTAAAAGATAAAAGTTTATAATAGTACAACAGTTAATGTAATATATTAAATTAATCAAACTTCAAACAAAATCTGCCCAACAAGAGAAGTTTAACAGTGACAATTGTCGTCTGTCATTTTAATTCAAAAGTAGATTACATATACCTATTAAGAATATTAATATACCGGGTGCGTCTCAAAAGTGGCTCATCCCTATAACTTTTTTATTTTTTTAGATAAAAACGAGATTTGATATATTAGTATATGACATAAATTAAGATTGATTGACGTATTCAGTTGTTTTCGGTCACTTCCTGTTTCAGCAGGAATGACCACAAATTTGTACTTTTCAATAAATTATTTTTATTGAAAGCTCCAGTTGTACAGGAGGACAATTTTGGTTGTTTTTATAGGGTATCTAGGAAACCGTGAGAAATATTCAAATTTTGATACTGCAGTCTCGGGTTCTTTTTTTGAAAAAATTACAATGGCGCAAACGGATCGTGGCTATCTTGATCGGTTTCGAATCTACAGGGGGATTCTCAAATTTTGTACTTTTTGAAGATGTTCGATAGTTTGTTTATTTCAGCAACCACGGAAAAATGAATTATGCATTCTTAAGGCACTTTTCTGTATAGAATGCAGAGGCGTAGTCAGAATTTTTTCGAAAAAAATATTTTTTGAGATATTAACTATACTTGTGTTTTTTAAATAGAAACCCTTGAATATTTTTAAATTTTCTTATTCAGCTTGGCATGGGCTTCTCGAAAATATATAACACTCTATATTTATTTTCACTATTAACCTCAACATTTCAAATTTTTCTTAAAATATCCGCTTAGTGGATAGTAGGCCGCGCCGAGTAACAAAGTAAACGGTTATAATGGTGATCGGAGCATACCTTTGATGGATGCGGGACATTTCATTTCAATAGATTGAAGTATGTGTATTTTAAATAATAAAAAAATGAGTAAATTTGAAAATTTTGAGAAATATAATATGTTAGAATGTTATATTGAGTCTAACAAACATAAGCAAATGGCAGCTGATTTATATTTTGAGCGGTATCCAGAGAGCCGAGCAACCAAACCCAGCCATTTTTAAAAGGTTAGAAGATAGTTAATCAATTTTGGATCTTTTCAAAAACCGGGCCTGAAAAATTATCAGAAAGAAGATGAGGAAAGTCAATATATTAATGTCCTCGGAGCCGAATACGTGAATTAACAATTAAATAAAATGGAACAATACCAAGCAAATAAAAAATAAGTGTGACAGAAACAAAAGAATATATTTTAATATAAGCTCAAGAGGTTACTTCAATCGGGCTTCTCAGTTAATATAAAAAAAAATAAAAACAAGACTACATTAAATGTTCAGACTGCTGCCCATTATTATCTAGACAGAGTTGCAACCGTACGAGCGGCGCGCGGCGGAGCGGTTTCAATTAGGTTAGGTTAGGTTAGGTTGCTGGGGTTTGGGATCATATTTGATCCCTCACTCGGAGGCCTTGGGCCCATTGCGATACCCCTGTATTGTTTTACCAAACCTTCCTCTCATTCTTTCTTTGCGTTAAAGCACTTCCAGCTCTTTGCAAAGTTCCCGGTTTCAATTAAAATTATAAAAAAAAAATTATTTTTCTATTTAAAAAAACATAAGTATAGTTAATATCTCAAAAAATATTTTTTTCGAAAAAAGTCTGACTACGCCACTGCATTCTACACAGAAAAGTGCCTTTAGAATGTATAATTCATTTTTCCGTGGTTGCTGAAATAAACAAACTATCGAACATCTTCAAAAAGTACAAAATTTGAGAATCCCCCTGTAACTTCGAAACCGATCAAGATAGCCACGATCCGTTTGCGCCATTGTATTTTTTTCAAAAAAAGAACCCGAGACTGCAGTATCAAAATTTGAATATTTCTCACGGTTCCCAAGATACCCTATAGAAACCACCAAAATGGTCCACCCTGTACTTTATTTGTCACTAAAATAATACCTATCTGGCGGGATCCGAATCGAATATGACCCTCATCTTATGACGTCACATTTTGCAATATCGCGACCCGATTCACCTGGGCCCCGCAAGAATCATAGAAACTGACTTGCGCATTAAGAGTCTGTCAGCAGCTTATTACGTTTTGAAGCTTAAAGTTTTATTTGCTGTTTATCGTGCATTTATTTTAAATACTTCTCTATTTATGAACTATGATGAGTGACTAAGGGGACAGTGATATCGAGTCTTTGTTGGATACCAGCGAAAATGATTAAAACGTTGAACGAATGATTACAACATACAAATATAAAAATAAATGTCGTCCCCCCTTCCCATTTATTAATAAGCACATAAATACCGTAGGATAAAAAAACGGCGTCCAGTTGGCTTAGAAATGACGACCAATAACATTTTCCATATAATTTTACATATAAAATGACAGCGATCTTCATTTCATAGCCATCGCCAACGCCGTTTTTTTCGATCATATTGTACTTTTCTCCTAATACAATATGATCGAAAAAAAAAACAGCATCAGCGATAGCTATGATATGAAAATCGCTGTTTTTAATATGTAAAATTATATGAGGAATGTCACTGACGTTCATCTCCAAGCCAAGCGGACGCCGTTTTTTTCCGATCATGCTATATATTAATCATTTTGAAACCCTGATAACAAAAATCGTATTAAAAAATCTATCTAACATTTAGATCTAACCTTTGAATAAGAAGACTAAGTAAGGAGCATATCAAAAATCTTAGGTACACCGCGATGGGCCTCAAATATGGCCGACTTAAATTCCGGTTTATCAGTGCCGTTCTAATTTTATTTAAAAAATGTAAAACTATGATGTAGGGTGGACGTGGGGTAGACTCAATAATTTGTTATTTTATTTTACGTTGTGAATAAATGTTGGTAGTTATTAAAATTGTTATAAAAACATATAATTCTAATAAAAATAGATAAGTTATAATAAGTATTTATTAACACAAACATCCGATACGCTACTGAAGCAGGTAAGTCAAATTAACGTATCAAAATTCTTTGACATCTGATCTTTGACAAGTAGTAAATAAAAGCTAAAATGCAAGAAAAATATATAATTTAGTTAATTTAAGTGAATTTCATAAATGATTGGTTTACTACACGTATGTATATTATATCTACTCACTTACTAGCGAAAAGTTGTTCCATTATTTCACTCAATTTTTGCCGAGATCTACCTCACGCTACACAACCAACTATTTTAGAGTCTTTTTCGATAAATCGCGATAGTGTCACTGTTAATTTAAGTTCTGCCACTATTTCCATCTAGATATACTACTTTTATACAACTATCAGTAGTAGAATAAATAATAAATAACATAAAATAAGCTCCGTAAAGACTGACAAATCCACAAAATTTCAAATCAAATTCAAATGTGTCAAATGAATCGTCAAACAGAACTGTCAAAGATCCCCACCCTAGAGTCCTTTTTCCGCCCACCACGCATGAATACATGGATAGCATTATGCTCCTTCCTTAGTCTTCCTATTCAAAGGATCTAACCAATAACAATAACAAAAAATAAGGTTAAGTAGTAAGACCATATTATATTACCATATTATAACAACTTAATCGTTTAAACAGAAACCATAAAAATAAATACCTTATTTGAACTTTCGACCACAGTTTCGTTCTTCAAACTAGTTCTTAAAAATGATGCAATCCTTTCACATTCGTCTCTTCTTGTACAGTATACTATAATACTTTTACAATATTTAAACTTTTGTGAAAGTAACAAATTTACTAAAGCCCTGTCCCTGTTCGGATCACGAGAAGCCGTTAAGTGTAAGTTGTCAGGAATAGGTATATCACTGATTACTCCTACAATAAACAATAACGTTTAAAAAAATATGTAATAGTTTCACATCATTTTTTACCATTTAATCCATCTGGTATAGCTAAGGAATCGATAATACTTTGACACGTAGCCTTTGTGGCTGTAGCAGTTAAACCCAGGATCGTTTTAACGCCCAAGCTCTCTTTTAATACTCGGGAAATCATAAGATAACTAGGTCTGAAATTATGTGACCATTGTGAGACGCAATGAGCTTCATCTATACAAGCAAAGGCAATTGGTGGCAGCTTACGAAGTAAAGATCCAAAACCTGAAATTATTTAATAAAAAAATTGTATATAAATAAATAATAAATAAACAACGCTTTATTGTACAAAAAGCCAAAATAGCTTCATCGACAAAGCATTTACACAACAAACAAAAGCACAAAAAAAATATACAAATAATAAAAAAAATATCATACAATACACATCATTCAAATTACAAATAAAACATACATGGGCATTGTAGAACACAGGCGTATCAATAAAATGTTACAAAAGGAAAATTGTAAATGGATAAAATCATGTAAAAGTTATAAAATATTAAATACTAGACCTTTAACCAGTGTGTGAGATGATCAAAATTCAGTCCCAATAAATATCGAACTGCTCTCTTTTGAAGTTTGAAAATACGATCAAATTTTGTCGCGCAGCAAGTACCCCAGAATGGAAGGGCATAACGAAGATGCGACTCAAAAAGGGCATAATAGACCATTCTAGAGGTTGATAAGTTAAGTTCCTTAGAAACTGATCTTAGCGCAAAACAGGCAGGCTTAGTTTAATAAAACACTAAATCACCACAATACACCAAAACACTTTTACTTTTACACTGGACGCGCGTTTCGCTAACCATGTTAGCATCATCAGCAGATGATTATAAACTAAAGTACAATCTACAAGTTGAGCGTTTATATACTCGCCCAGTAGGCACCGAGTGGGCGTGGCAAAATCTAGCCAACCGAGTCAGAGCCCACTTAGCGTAACAGTTAGATTTCCGCCACTAGAGTAGTAGGAACAAAGAACTTAAAGGAATTGGACCGTTGTCTCTGTTCATACTATCTTTACATTTATTGATTTTGATGCTTTCATATGCATCTAATTGCTTGTAATTTGAAACTTGTTTAATTAATTTTAAATTATTAAGATCTATACAATGTTCTTTATCAACAATATGTTCGGCAACGCAAGATTTATCCGGTCTACCATATCTTATCTGAGCTAAATGTTCTTTAAATCTAGTTAATATTGATCTTCTAGTTTGCACAACATATTTCTGATTACAATCTTTACAAGAAATTTCATAAATACCCGATGTCTACTGTTGAATTGGGGAATTGAAACGATAAATGTGTTTTATACAGAGCGATCTGCAAGGAAATACGTACGTGCTCTATAGTAAAGTGTAATGTCCAAAAACAATTAAAAACAATAGTTAATATTGTGTTATTGTGTTGTCCAGTTTAACAAATTTTAACTCTGTAAGAATCTACGTTCAAGAGGCTTGAAAAAGACATATACTGTCGAAACGTCGTCATAAAATAAAAAAATAATGAACAAAATCTAGAAACATCTTTGCAACCCCAACGACCTAAAGCCAAGAGTGAAAACAAAAAAATATATAGTATACAGGTCAAAGAAACGAAACAAAAAATATTAAAGTATTGAGTTTTTAATAGTGCAGTTATTGAAACTATAAAACAGTATGAGGTTTGTGTGATGTAAGACTTTTTTGGGATAGTAAAAATAAAGTGAAAAAGAACCCGAACTGGGCGTCGCTTTTTGTTGTGACAATTTCAAATGATAATAAAATTGTCGAAAAAATGTTAACACGTAAAAAAGGGCGTAATTACGTGGTTGTTGGGTGCAACAACATTCAATAACTCAACTTTCGGGGATATTCAACTCTCCCCAAACAACATTTTATAGCTTCACAACTTCTCAGACCGATTTGATCAAAACCAAAAATGGATTCAAGCACGGCGACACAAGTGAGTAAACAAAATGCCCATTACATTAATGTGGCGAAAAATTTAGTGAACACCATAACTCCTTCCCATGATTCACTTTCATATCTCCCTAAAGCAAATGAGAATTTACACAGTTTCTTCTTTACGCCCGTAGCATTAGATGAGCTCCGTAGTACAATTAAAAGTATTAAAAATAAATTCTCATCTGGGACTGATGGACTTACTCTCAAAATGTTCTCTGAACTTCCGGAATGCACGTTAATCTATCTTACTACTTTAATTATTGAGTCATTCCAAAAAGGAGTTTTTCCAAACTGCCTAAAGACAGCAATAACTATTCCTCTGCATAAAGGAGGAGATAAAGATCAAGCTTCGAACTATCGCCCAATTGCTATCCTGCCCACGTTATCTAAGATCATTGAAAGATTGATTAAAAAAAGGCTTCTATCTTTTCTCCTTAAATATAAAGTACTTTCTACCCATCAATTTGGATTTCTAAGTCACAGTTGCACAAATGATGCTATGTTCGACCTTTTTAATAATGTATACTCTAGCCTGAATACCCATCACTCTACAGCTACAATTTTCTGTGATTTCTCTAAGGCTTTCGACTGTGTAAATCATAATATCTTAATTAACAAATTGGAATACTATGGATTCAGGGGGGCGCCGCTCGAATGGCTTAAGTCGTATCTTGGCAACAGAAGGCAGCTTGTGAGGAATGATACGTCTATGTCTTCTTGTAAGCCTATAGAATGTGGTGTCCCTCAGGGTTCAGCATTTGGTCCTATTTTGTTTCTGGTGTTTATCAACGACATTGCAAATCTAGACATTAGCGGTAAAATCTGCCTCTTTGCGGACGATACTAGTTTCACTTGGGCGGCCCAGATGTTCTGACATTATATAATACTATATCCAGTGACTTACGCACCATTAAATCTTGGTGCGATTCTAATCTCCTATGCCTCAACCTTTCAAAAACTAAAGTTTTGTCATATAAAAGTACTGTACAACCTTTTGTACTTAATAACACCACTATTGACATCGTGGACTCTGTGAGATTCTTAGGACTTGTTGTAGACAACTCGTTAAAATAGGACTTGCACATCGAAGCTTTATCAAAAAAACTAAACGCTGCCTGTTTTGCGCTAAGATCAGTTTCTAAGGAACTTAACTCATCAACCTCTAGAATGGTCTATTATGCCCTTTTTGAGTCGCATCTTCGTTATGCCCTTCCATTCTAGGGTACTTGCTGCGCGACAAAATTTGATCGTATTTTCAAACTTATTATTGGGACTAAACAGTAGAACTCACTGCCAGAATTTCTTTAAAAATTTCAAAATACTGACTCTTCCTTCCTTATTCATTTTTGAATCCGTTTGCTTAATCCGCAAGCACATATCTGCTATTCCGGAAAGGCCTTCTCACAACTATCCACTTAGGAATGCGGAGCACGACATTTATCTGCCAACCCCGAGCTCAGAACTAGTTAAGGACTCAATACTGTACAATGCCAAGAAAATGTACAATCATTTGCCTTCGAATATCAAGTCACTTTCATTCTTTCCCGCATTTCGCAAAGCTCTGAAATCATACTTACTGGAGAGAGCCCTATATGCGGTAAACGACTTTTTTGTTGATGTTTAATCATCAACAATCATCTCACACACTGGTTAAAGGTCTAATACCACATAAAGATTTGTGAATAGCTTTGAACACTTAAAAGAACAATAAAACAATTAATATGATATATTAACTAATTATTTTTTTATATAGTCTATAAAATGAATAACTTTGAATTTTGAACGTTATTTTTTACCAACATCTGCCAACATGGCAAATATAAAATCCCTCTATCAAAAAAGTTACTGATATTCTTTAAATTGAGTGCCTGAACGAATCAGATAGGTAACTCTTTTTACTTTCGTGAAATAGAAAAGGAAAAGAATAAAACAAGTTACAGTTCTTCCTCTTCTTGCAAAAATCAACATGAAATGTCATAATCGACAAAAGTGAAATGTCATCAGCTTTTGACATTTCTAAATATTGGACCAATGCCGTCTCTAATAGAACAGCCACGGGCGAGATTTATGACGTCACGCTAGTTAGATACTTCGGATTAATAAATATGTTGTAGAATACATGGAAAACAATTATTCCTCGTATTTTTGGTTTGTATTTTAAAAATGATATAGTTTACATGAAATATACATAATATACAGTTAATAAATACAATATAATATATACGTATTTATAGTAATAAATACTTTGGCAAATAAACTATAAACCATACAAATGCAGCAAATGTTTTACAATATACAAATAATGAATAGGTGGTACATAAGATAATGGGTAAAATGTAAAATATATTTTAAATTTTGGGGTTTGAAAATCAATCTAATTTAACAAAAAACATTCAATATCTACTAATAGTGATGTATTATTATTTGCATTCACAAAATTTATTTATATATTATAATGTTTACTGCAATTGATAAACTAATATAAACTTGTCAAAAGATGACCACATATTTTTTAAAATTATTATTCTTAACACAAAAACTATCTACATTGATTATGGAGTACGATTTCAGCCATATTGTAAGCCATATTGTAAAACGTTTGCTGCATTTGTATGGTTCATAGTTTATCTGCCAAAATATTTATTACTATAAATAGGTATTTATTAACTGTATATTATGTATACTTCATGTAAACTATATCATTTTTAAAATACAAACCAAAAATACGAGGAATACTTATGTTTTCCATGTATTCTACAACATATTTATTAAGCCGTAGTATCTAACTAGCGTGACGTCATAAATCTCGCTCGGAGGCTGTTCTATTAGAGACGGAATTGCGTCAGCATGGCCGCAAGTTGCTAACCTGATAAAATTAACACTAGAAAAGCCCGCGGCAACTGTCAAATTCAAAGTTATTCGTTTTACGGACTATATAAATTTGCAATATTACACTTCAAAATTACCTGAATAAATGACTATATCTAATCAAAAGAACTGTGCATTTGCTCAACGCGTTTATTCAACAACATATGCAATAAAATAGTCGGCCGATCGGCTCCAGAAGAAAATATGGTTTTTACTTTTGCAACTAAATAATGCATTGAGAAGTTATACTGGAACCAAACGGCACAAATAAAATTGTCCAATACCATGTCCAATCCCATAAAAGTTAGAAGGGGGGTGCGACAGGGTTGCGAGCTGGGTCCACTCCTATTTAATTTATACTCAGAAGCTATTTTCTAAGAGGCTCTGGAGGACGTGGAAATGGGGGTCAAAGTTACGGTCCGACGATACGGTCTTAATTGCAGACAATATACACGACCTACAACAACTGGTCAACAAGGTAGGAGAACAGAGCAAAGCAATGGGTTTAAACATCAACATCAAGAAAACCAAATTTATGATTATATCCAGAAACCCAGATGCGTTTATAAACTCCATCCTAACATTTAACTCAAGGCCCATAGAAAGAGTAGATAAATTTAAGTACTTGGGCATCTAGCTCTCCGAAGATTGGACATCAGACAAGGAAATTAAATGTCGCATCGAACAAGCTCGGCAGGCATTCTTGAGGTTTCGAAAAGTACTTGTCTGTCCTGATTTTGATCTTAGCCGTGCCTTAGCCTTAGATTAAGATTCGTAAAGTGTTATGTGTGGTCGGTGCTCCTTTATGGTATGGAAGGTTGGACATTGAAAGCAGCTACCATCAACAAATTGGAGGCTTTTGAGATGTGGCTATATAGCAGAATCCTGAAGATACCTTGGACGGCTAGATTGACAAATGAGGAAGTTCTCAGACGCGTTGACAAAGAGCGTGAATTATTTTAATTGATTAAAAAGAAAAAGACCGCATACCTGGGGCACATTTTCTTGCATTTGTTGAAAGAAGGCAAGATCGAAGGCCGGAGGGGTATCGGAAGGAAGAAAATGTCTTGGCTGAGGAATGTTAGACAGTGGAGGAGGCTACTCGATGTTCAGTCGTTAATACACACCGCCCGGAACAGAGAAGCAATGGATAATGTTATCGCAAACATCCATTAATGGATCTGCACTAGTAGAAGAAGAACTAAATAATCGGCCGACTCGAAATTGCATGTAAATTCATACCTGTTTGTTTTTCTCCAGCTACCACAGCCTCTGGAGATATTAGGAGAACATTGATATTTCCCTTTGATAGAGCGTCCATTATTTTTTCTCTTTGTGTTTTGGTCTGGTTTGTATGAAGACAGGCGGCTTTAAGAAAGCTTGGTATACCTATTATAAATTAAACGTTTAATAAATTAAAAAAAAACAATAAAATAACATTTACCTGTTACTTGATCTTCCATAAGAGAAACTAGGGGTGATATAACAAGTGATATACAAGGTTCCCTTTGGGAATATAAATAAGCGGGGAGTTGATAGCATAAACTCTTTCCTGAGCCTGTACTTAATGTTACCAAAGTCGATTGTCCTGAAAGAATGCGCATTATTGCTTTCTCCTGGCCACCTCTAAAAGTACTATGACCAAACTTTGTTAAAGCTTCATACATTTCCTGAGGCGTTCCTAAAACATAATATTAGATTATTTCACCTTTTCTTTGATAGAACCATAGACTTAAAATAAAATATAGACTACACTATTTACATCTGAACGCGGACAAACAACCTATTTTGTACACATGTTTACTTCTGGGTACAGTCGACCGAGCCTTCCTCATCCAGCTTATGTTGTCACGTCTTTAATATTATCAATATTTTTTTTCTTGTTATACACATATATTGAGATATTAATACTACAGTTTAATAAAGTAGGTTTTAATATTCCATAGATGTATTAAATAGTCCTTATACTACTAAATTACAAGTCGGATACTGTTTAATAAGGATAAGTTCTTTACAATATGACAACACCGATTAGAGGCGAGAGAGCCTATTCATTCATCTATTACCTTGTAGTACGTGTCGCACGTGTGCGGTAAAGCTTTGTTGCCGCTATCTCCCCGGCTGTATTAACGCATTTTCTTAGCTTGTAGTCCTTAAGTGTTTATTTTATTGACTTTTTCTGTTCAAGAACTATAAAATATGGTTCGCCAGTGCCAAATTTGCAAGAAATTTGACTTAAATAATCCATTTAAGTCTTGAAACGACTTTTGACCGGTAGGCAACTCTCAATTTACCCATTGGGAGTCAGTGGCGTTGTTGTAGAAAGGCGCTTATTTAGATAATATTTTAGTAAAATGTAAAATCTGAATTTTTTCTCTTACATTACATTATTTACTTACTTACATTGTAACAAAATCATAATTATAACCCTGTTAATAATTAATAATGTTTTTATTAAAAATATATTCCGGTTTATTCTAAAATTATCTTCAGAATCTAAAATAACATACAAGAATTTTAAAATGATATTACATTATGAAACAATATTTTTTAATATACCGGGTCGTCTCAAAAGTGGCTAACCCTATAACTTTTTTATTTTTCAGATAAAAACAGATTTGTATGTTAGTAGGTATATGACATAAATTAGGATTTATTGACGTATTCAATTGTTTTCTCTTCCTGTTTCACCGAAATGATTACATCTTTTGATTTTTTAAAGGCACCCTCGGTATATTGCTACTTTATTCGATAAAAAATGACACTCTGAATAGAATGACATATCATATGTCAACTTTTGACATTGTCGCTTAAAAACATATCCTATTTTAAATTTCAATCCAGTTTTTTTCAATCCACTAAGTTTTTAATCAAGGAGCCTTGGAAAAAATAGTTTTGATCGTCTAATAGGTTTCGTGTCTTGTCTAGGCCGGTTAAAAGATGTACAAATCGTATTTTTAATCATACATATGTCAATTTTTTCAAATGGAACAAGGGTGACTCATTAGCATATTTGGAAAAAGCATTTTTTTTATGAATATATTGATACCACACACTTGGTATTTCGAGTCAAATTGTCGTTATGAACCGCGTGTTACAATTACAATTAAACCATATGCGAAAATGTCAAAAGTTGACGTCATTCTATTCAGCAAGTTATATAAATACGTTCAGAGTTGAAGTCATTCTATTCAGAGTGTCATTTTCTATCGAATAAAGTAGAAATATACCGAGGGTGCCGTTTAAAAATTAAAAGTTATAGTCATTTCCGGTGAAACAGGAAGTGACCAAAAACAATTGAATGCGTCAATCAATCCTAATTTATTTCATATACTAACATACTAAATCTTGTTTTTTATTTCAGAAAAAGTTCAGAAAAAAGCCCTACGCGTTATGTTAGGCATGAAAATTAGGGAATCATGTAGAAATAAGTTTAAAGAGAATAAAAAAAATTATGGGGATGAGCCACTTTTGAGACGCACCCGGTATAATAAAGACAGTACCGAGTTAAATAAATGTAGTTTTTATTTTATCCACTTCCTATCACCTTCCTTGCTTTAATGGAACAGATTTATGTTTTCTCTAATTTACATAATAAGACATCACTTAACCAGAAACAAAATTACAACAATCATATTTTTTTTTCTCTCCCTGTCGCCGATTCTATTATATCTGTGGAATATATCCTGTTTTGATTAATATTAGGGGTTGTAAATGTTTGACTAAAATTTATAATTTATTATTAATTTCAAAAATTACCTAATTTCAATTATAAAATTTCTTCTATAACGTGTATTTTATTATTTTTATCCTTTTTGGACTCTAAATTGTTTTTTCTAAACTTTTATTTAAAAAACCTGTCCTAAATCTTAATAAAATATAAAAAAGTTTAAATACGATATATTTTTAATTTAATTATAGCTTCATTAAAATAAAAAAATTACCCGGCTATCATACGGAGAGTTCAGGTGTACTTGAGAAATGAAAGACAGTGTTGTGTTTCTCGGCAGAGTCGTCAGGGAACGACCGTTACGACAGAGACAACCTATCTATCGCTCGTGTCGCACTCGTTATAACCTAAAACAATAACACAACAATAACAAGACAGTGTCTGACCGCATGTTCCAGCTATTTATGAATGAGATGCTCAGTCTATATTTTATTTTAAGTCTATGGATAGAACTAAGTGTTCTATTATGTCTATCACACTCAAGTTGAGACATCAAAGAACCGGGACTCGAAATTATTAATCCCGGTACTTTCGGGACTCGGTAATAATAATTAAAAACATATTTTTTGTTAAGTGAGAAAGTCCTTTGATACTTTCTAGCGCTCGAAATCAAACTCTTCTAAATAAGTAACGATGCTGTTTCTTATTCTTGCCACTTTTCTCGTTTGAAGTTCCTATAATATTTATTATGCATTCCATTTTTGAATCAATATTTTAGGGCTTTTGTCTCAAATTCATTTAAGTTAGTTTATGTTGCTTGATGTGAAATTTAAGTTACCTCTATTTTTTTCTTTATTTGTGTTCATGTTAATTTTTCATGACTGATTACTTAATAATTTGATATTATTTTCATTAAAAATCTCAATTTTTTATCCATTTTACTTTGAAAAACCATCCCTTGCTTTCTAATTGATGAACTGCACCACCATTGAACAAAAATTAGCCAGTACCGAAAGTACCGAAAAAACCGGGAGATCCCGGTTCCTAAGAAGCGTGGTACCGAAATTCCCGGTTCCGAAAAACAGCTCCGGTTCCGGTTCCGGGAACCCTACTCAATAGAGATGTAGTTGAATATAATTATAGTGTGGTAGATTTGTATCCATATGTTACAGATGAAATGTCGTTAGCAGGTTTAGTACCAGGAGTTAAACAACCTTTTTTTTAAATTGCTGACGTTTCGACGCGTATTTTCGTCTTTATCATGGCTATTTTCAGCTAGAAGGTCCTTATGTCCAAATTAATTAAGCAACTTCTCCTGATAGCACGGGTAAAATCAAGAACACTACACTGTAACGATGTTACTTAATTTTTGTGATAATTAATTTGTAGTGATTAAATTAATTAGCTTTTAATTATCAAATTATTTTGTTAAAAGCAAGTAGTAGAGTCTTGGTTCGTATCGATAGATACTCGCGGGGATACGGCGCGCGCCGTTGTCCCCACTGTGTGCTGCTTTCCCCACTCCTGTAGACGAGAGCAGTACCGTTAGAAAATCAAAAGTCGTCAGTTGCTTGGTACCTGGTTTGGTGAAGAGACGACAGCTCTACTCTGCTCCGCCGAAGATAAAATTCGATAGAAAGCCTCGTTTTGTAGAAATTGCGCACCCGACTGCTCTCCGCACTCTCCGTAAAATCCTGTCTTGCGCAGTGTCTGTTCTAGTGTAGTGCTACGCCACGTTGTTCATCAAGTGAATCTTGTCGAACTTTCCTTTCTGTTTTCCTCGCTCAATCACGTGAACGTGTGTCCTAGCCAACGCCTTCGGAAAAGTGGTGAGCGGCTTTACATTAAATTGTGAAAGGCCGTTCTCTGTGTTTCAAAAGGTGGCCGACTATGAAGAGCAGTAGGTAGCGTCCTCTGGTCAGTATTTTTACAAGTACTGTCGGGAGGCGTTTCCTGTGCCTAATCCATCCGTGATTGAAGGGAAAGCGTGAAAAACCTACAATTTTGACCGTGGGGTGCTGTTTTCACGTACGGTTGGATTGTGGGCTAGTGAACAAACGAACGACATGTTTCTTCTCCGGGTTAAGAAAGGATTTAACTAGTAACTTTTTGATTTCGCAATCTTGCCACGACTGCGCTACCCGACAGACGTCAGGAGGCCGCCTGCCGTCTGCATCCCGGTGCGCATGCGGTGCCCGTTTTTCTTTTAGAAAGTAACAAGACACTGCGTAGCTGACTGAAGCGCTGTGTTAGGACCAGACGTCTTTCGAAAGTTAACATATGCGCAGTACATTCCCCGACCGCAAATACTAGGGTGAGCCATCCATCCATCTACGCCTGCATTTCAGGGCCGCACATGCGCCCTTGGTTAGAAAATAGAAAGTCTCGCGCTTGCGTAGAATCTTACCCCGCGCCATTTTGCGCGAAACCCATGAGCCAAGATTTTACGGCTGCTTCTCAACGAATTTGAGTTTAATAAAGATTGTTTATATTATTTTAATTTAAACTGATTGTTTTATTTTGACTTTACCTGCACCCCTTCATACCTGGAGTCTCCACTGTTTAAAGGCTACCCGTACTGGCAAACGTGGACCTCTACCACTATAAATAATAGAGGTGGCGCCCGAGAGATCTAGATCTACCACTGGGCGTCAATAAGGCTATTTTTCACAGAACCAAAGAAATAGCCTTACAACACATCTATTTGGACAAGACATTAAACACACTACATAAAGTCTACAAAAAATCTGTTTTAACGATCAACGGAATACAGATGACTCAGTTAGCTTCACAAATTTAATTGTTTGTATTTTATATTGTTGTGTAGTGTGTTTAATAGGGAGTTTTTTTGTTGCTTACAAATTGCAATTCCGGTTAACGCTAATTGACAACTTTGACATTTCAATTTCGATTATCGTATATCGTAACCGCTAGCTGCCGATATTTTACGGACGTTAGCTAAAGCCGTTAACATAGCGGTACGCATGCGCAGTAGAAACACAACATTGAAAAATACAGATCTAACCTAACGTCATTCTATTTTGTTTATGTTTTAATTATTTATTTTATCTATGTTAAACTCGTTGGGAATTCTTAGTGCTTCAACTAATCGAGGAATGTCTTTTTTTTCAAAGCAGAAGTTAGCTTTGCACTCTTGGTCAGATAATATTTCTAGGTTGAACTCCCCATAAAGTTCTGCTCGATATTCGATGTTGTTTTCAAACCCTTCCAACAGCATAGCATCCTCCAAATCCGATTCATCACTAGAGTCCAATAAAATTAAATTGTCCATCCTATATAGCGATACCCAATAAAGTCATATAAAGCACTTTCAAATCAAACAACAATACAAAAATCAAAACACTACGCTACGGTCTGTGCTTAGCTGTCAGTTTTCGGTTATCGTATCGTATGTCGGCTCCGAACCGATGAACCGAAAGTCCGAAAACTGTTTTTTTATCTGTCAAAATAGCGGTTATGGTTACGTATCCGTTAACCGTACCGTTGAATTTTTTTAAAGCAACGAAAACTCCCTAATGTCTTATGTGATTGAAGTCCTGGTAATTTCGACATTTGCACAAAATATGCACAAACATTTGGTGAATGATTACTAATCAGTAGGGTTACCGAAATCGGAGCTGTTTTTCGGTACCGCGCCTCTTGGGAATCGGGATTTCCCGATTTTTTCGGTACTTAATTACTTCGGATTCCCGGTACTTTCGGTACCGGGATTTCCCGATTCTGAACCCTACTAATCAGTATATCTTAAAAAATAAATGCATATTTACCCTTAAGAGCTCCAAGTTCATCTAAGTTATAATATGGAGCAACAGTTTTAATATTATCCATATATGACTGAACATCAATTTTCCGAACGTATTCTTCCAATTTTAACATTTCAGCCAATAAAACTTCGGAATCTACATCCTCAAACAATTGGTCTTCTTCTTGATCGTCTACATTAGTATAGTCGGCAGGATTCGTCAGTTCATCCAAGTTACCAGAATTTTCAGCTGCAGCAGCAATTTTAGGCTTTCTTATGCTTAATGCACTTTCCGATGCCATTTTCGATGCTTCCTCTAGAGTAGGAAAAGGACACTCTTCTTCCTCTTCATTCAATATTGGTAATAATCCATCACCTATTAGAGATGGGTTGTTATTTAACTATCTGTTATTTTATAACAGTTATTTAGAAATAGCATAAGGCAACCGTTGTTACTTCTAAAAAATAACGACACGTAGAGATCGACCGCTCGTGAAACGAAGTCGGCGCTCTGCATCGCGACGAAATTCTATGTATTCTATTATTTCGATAACCATCGATAATCTAAAGTTGTTGTTTTGTAAGTAGGTTTGTAAGTTTGTAAGTAAGTTTGTAAGTTTGAGCATTTAGTTATTAAGTCTCAGTTACTTATTTATTTTTATTAATATTTTTAAATGTGTACTTTCATTGTTTTTCCTACGTTTTAAAACTCTTCAAAGACAATTTTACTTGCCTATCAGCAATAACAATCAAAATAAAACACTAAATCACCACAATACACCAAAACACTTTTACTTTTACACTGGACGCGCGTTTCGCTAATCATGTTTTGACACACATTCAGACACCATAGATAATTTTATTTCTAAGTTAAATAATCGTTTTCCTTCCATTAAATTTACACATGAAATTGAGAACAACGACAGATTACCATTTCTAGATGTATTAGTTATTAGAAATACTAATAATTGCCTGGAATTTGATATCTATAGGAAAAATACCACTACACGCAGATATATTCCTAATGAATCATATCATAGTATTGAACATAAAATGGCTAGTTTAAATTTCTTAGTTCATAGATTACTTAGTGTTCCACTTTCCAACTAAAGATATGAAATAGAAAGAGATTACATTAGGAATGTAGCTGAGTGTAATGGATATTCTCCTTCACTAGTTGATAAAATAATTAGAAGACGTAGGTATAGGTTAATGATTTCTGAAAATTCGACTTTTCAAGTGGAGAAAGATACGTCAAAATATTTTTCAATACCGTTTGATAGACAGTTATCCCGTGGTCTAAAAGGATTTTTTAAGAATGTCAATTATAAACTTGTGTATAGTGCTAATAATAAATTACAACAATTATTAGGTAATCCAAAGGATAAAACACCTCTACTGGAAAGGTCGGGTATTTATGAAATTTCTTGTAAAGATTGTAATCAGAAATATGTTGGACAAACTAGAAGATCAATATTAACTAGATTTAAAGAACATTTAGCTCAGATAAGATATGGTAGATCTGAAAAATGTTGCGTTGCCGAACATATTGTTGATAAAGAACATTGTGCAGATCTTAATAACTTAAAATTACTTAAACAAGTCTCAAATTACAGGCAATTAGATGCATATGAAAGCATCAAAATTAATAAATGTAAAGATAGTATGAACAGAGACAACGGTCCAATTCCTTCAAGTTCTTTGTTCCTACTACTTTAGTGGCGGAAATCTAACTGTTACGCTCAGTGGACTCTGACTCGGTTAGCTAGATTTTGCCACGCCCACTCAGTGCCCACTGAGCGAGTATATAAACGCTCAACTTGTAGATTGTACTTTATAATCATCTGCTGATGATGCTAACATGGTTAGCGAAACACGCGTCCAGTGTAAAAGTAAAAGTGTTTTGGTGTATTGTGGTGATTTAGTGTTTTTATTTTGCTGTGTAATGCTGGATTCAGAGTTCCGTAGCCGTAAGACGTAAGCCGTATCGTTAAGACGTAAGGGATATCGACCTTCACAATCACACGATTGCGTTCATAGATCTCCGTATGCCGTAAGACGTAAGAAATGAACCAATTTTAATTCTTACGTTACGTCTTATCGAATCGGGTGTTGTCGGCTAGGTTCGGTGGTACTCGGTAGCCATTTCTACAACTTTTATATTTCACAGATATTTCACTTCGGCAACGAAAATATAATTGTCCGTGTCCATTTTAGTTCAATTAAATTAATAATAACAAAATAAATAAGGAGTATTATAGTTTTATTCACAACATTCACAACCCAAACAACAACATAACCTATTAAAAACGGTAATGCGCACGCTTACGATGAAGTTATCGTTACGTCTTACGGCAACTATGAATGGGTTTCCTTGCGTCTTAAGTCTTACGGCTAACGATACGGCTTACGTCTTACGGCTACGGAACTCTGAATCCAGCATTACACAGCAAAATAAAAACACTAAATCACCACAATACACCAAAACACTTTTACTTTTACACTGGACGCGCGTTTCGCTAATCATGTTTTGACACACATTCAGACACCATAGATAATTTTATTTCTAAGTTAAATAATCGTTTTCCTTCCATTAAATTTACACACATGAAATTGAGAACAACGACAGATTACCATTTCTAGATGTATTAGTTATTAGAAATACTAATAATTGCCTGGAATTTGATATCTATAGGAAAAATACCACTACACGCAGATATATTCCTAATGAATCATATCATAGTATTGAACATAAAATGGCTAGTTTAAATTTCTTAGTTCATAGATTACTTAGTGTTCCACTTTCCAACTAAAGATATGAAATAGAAAGAGATTACATTAGGAATGTAGCTGAGTGTAATGGATATTCTCCTTCACTAGTTGATAAAATAATTAGAAGACGTAGGTATAGGTTAATGATTTCTGAAAATTCGACTTTTCAAGTGGAGAAAGATACGTCAAAATATTTTTCAATACCGTTTGATAGACAGTTATCCCGTGGTCTAAAAGGATTTTTTAAGAATGTCAATTATAAACTTGTGTATAGTGCTAATAATAAATTACAACAATTATTAGGTAATCCAAAGGATAAAACACCTCTACTGGAAAGGTCGGGTATTTATGAAATTTCTTGTAAAGATTGTAATCAGAAATATGTTGGACAAACTAGAAGATCAATATTAACTAGATTTAAAGAACATTTAGCTCAGATAAGATATGGTAGATCTGAAAAATGTTGCGTTGCCGAACATATTGTTGATAAAGAACATTGTGCAGATCTTAATAACTTAAAATTACTTAAACAAGTCTCAAATTACAGGCAATTAGATGCATATGAAAGCATCAAAATTAATAAATGTAAAGATAGTATGAACAGAGACAACGGTCCAATTCCTTCAAGTTCTTTGTTCCTACTACTTTAGTGGCGGAAATCTAACTGTTACGCTCAGTGGACTCTGACTCGGTTAGCTAGATTTTGCCACGCCCACTCAGTGCCCACTGAGCGAGTATATAAACGCTCAACTTGTAGATTGTACTTTATAATCATCTGCTGATGATGCTAACATGGTTAGCGAAACACGCGTCCAGTGTAAAAGTAAAAGTGTTTTGGTGTATTGTGGTGATTTAGTGTTTTTATTTTGCTGTGTAATGCTGGATTCAGAGTTCCGTAGCCGTAAGACGTAAGCCGTATCGTTAAGACGTAAGGGATATCGACCTTCACAATCACACGATTGCGTTCATAGATCTCCGTATGCCGTAAGACGTAAGAAATGAACCAATTTTAATTCTTACGTTACGTCTTATCGAATCGGGTGTTGTCGGCTAGGTTCGGTGGTACTCGGTAGCCATTTCTACAACTTTTATATTTCACAGATATTTCACTTCGGCAACGAAAATATAATTGTCCGTGTCCATTTTAGTTCAATTAAATTAATAATAACAAAATAAATAAGGAGTATTATAGTTTTATTCACAACATTCACAACCCAAACAACAACATAACCTATTAAAAACGGTAATGCGCACGCTTACGATGAAGTTATCGTTACGTCTTACGGCAACTATGAATGGGTTTCCTTGCGTCTTAAGTCTTACGGCTAACGATACGGCTTACGTCTTACGGCTACGGAACTCTGAATCCAGCATAACACCAAAGGTTCCAACCCTCAACTGTAACAGAAACCTGTTATTTTAAGCTGTTGTTGTTTTTTTTTTATAAATAACAGTAACAGTTTCAACTGTTATTTAAAAATACTAGTTTTGCCCACCACTATACCCTATGCAACATTAAGTTAAGATATGTTTTTTTATCGAACAATAAATTACCTTTTCCTGCTTTGCAAGCGCGGGCAAAATGTCCTTCTTGGCCACAATTAAAACACATCAACTTGCCCCCATCACAACCACCCATATCCATATCCGGTCCATATAATGCTTTCTTTTTACTTTTCCACATCGCCTTTTTCATTTTAGAAAAGTTTTTGCCTTTCTTCCCTCTAACAAATACTTTTTTTCTTAAATTTAATGTTACAAAATTGTCATTAAGCATGCCAGATGATACTTTCTGTTCCAGTTTTTCTTTAGCTTGTTGCTTTTTATCTTTTACTATAGTTGTATCTGTCTGATTCTCATTGCACACTGTAGAATGCTCTTTATTATCCATTGCAATATTCTCCTTAAAGATATTTTTTATTGCATTGTATCTAGGTTTTACGATCCTTCTTTTTATACTGAATTCTAGTTCATATTTTGATGAACAGTCGTTTTCAGAATGATTTTCTGATAGTTCATTTTTGGCTGATTTTCTGACTGTTTTCTTAGTTGACCTTTTCTTATGTTTATTACTCGGCTCTTTTTTTGTATTTTTATCGAGTTCATTAATATTACTGTTACTTTCAGTGGAATCTCCAAAGTCAAAGTGTTGATTATTGGGTAATTTAGTTTCACTTTGTACTGAAAAGTCTGGATCCTTCTCAGAATCATCTGAATCAAAGGGATCTTTTTCAGAACTGGATAATTCTTCAAAACTAGATTTGGCAATATTTTTCCTCGAAGATCTCCGTAAACTAATATTTTCATTTTTAGATTTGTTCGTATTTGAAACAATATTGTTATCTACAATCTTATTTTTTATATTACTTTCATTTTTTAATTGCTTATCTTCCATCTTTATATTACTAGACTGAGAGAACTGATTATCGTAAATCAAATTGTCTACCACATTTTTAGTGTCATTAGTAATTTTTTCTAGTGCGTTTGGTTTTTCATTATTTTTATCTTCAACAGATTGTAAGGAAAACTTATGAGAAGCTGGTACATCAATAGTGATATTATTTCGAACATTTAAAACAGGTACACTTTCATTTTTATCTGTATGTATATTACATTCATAAGATACTTTTGATTTTTTTGCGACATGAAATATTGACACATTTTGCTCGTCATCTGATTTTTCTATAACATCATCACTATCATAATCTACCTTTGTCTTCATTACATCATTTTGAATATTATTGCTGTATATGTGTTTTTCTGAATCAGTGCTAAGACTCAAAGAATTACCTATATTTTCGGTGACTCTGTTAAGCCATCCAGTATCAATTTTTTTTAATGAAGTCTGTCTATTCTCCAACACACTGTCAACAATACTAATAGGGACAGAAGATGTAATACGTTTTAATTCAGAACTTTTAAAACGTTCCTGTGAATAAAATATCTTATCATCAGAATGGAAGACATTTAATGCTTCTTCCGATTCAAACTTTGTAAAACTGGTCTCGGGTTGAGATAAAAATTGTGAACAATCAAAACTCACATCGCTATTCTTCTTCTGTGTAAAAGATAGAGATTTTCGAGGATTTCGTTTATTAAATTTAGATCCACAAAATAACTTCTTGGTAATAGAATTAACGGGATTCGATGTACCTTTATCGTTTCTTGTTACCTGATGCATATCTGAATCGATATTTTTGTTTAAATGAACATTCCATATAGTATCACACTTTGCTGTATTCTCTTCATTCTCTACAGAATTTGGACTAACTCGATTTTCTATATTATGACATAATATATTTTGTTCATTTTCTGCATATTCCTTTAAAATTTGTAGTTCAGCCAATTCATCATCTTCATTCTGACTGAAATTTTCAAAACCTTCGACATCTCTAAAACTCTGTTCTAAAGCAGAATTTTTCAGTTGAAAATATTTTCTATAGGCACTTTTTACTTTAGACGGAGCTTCTCGTATATCCAACTGTAAAATATTAATAAAAATGAAAAAGCAATAGCAAAAGTATATCTGAAAAACGTACCTTTGAAGGCATACGATTATGTTTTCGAATAAATTTATGTTCCCATACTTTAACTGTGAATTTACATTTATCGTATATTTCTTTCGTTTCTGGTTCGTCAAGAAGATCCATTTTTTCTGTTAACAATTAAATAATATTAATAGTGCAAAACAAAATAGTATTAAAGAAAGATATTTCTCCAGTTTAGAGTTTGGCGCACATTTTTGACAAGATGTTGACAAGCAAACATAACCTGTGACACCTGTCAAACTGTCTATTACCTTAGAATATAGAAAAACGTCATTGTCAACACGTAAAAAGATCCAAGGATCTGCTAGAGACCAAGATCCATCCTTGAGATCCACCAAGATTTTTTGGATAAAGCGCTAAACTATGTTCTGTGGCTAAATTGTTGGCAACACTGGTTAAAGCGCCGTTTATTTTTATTGTTTATTTTGCTGGGTACAATTCATGGTACATTTTTGAAAGACACTTTTATAATACCTGATTTTTTTCTTTTAACATTTTTTTAATAATACTAGGTACATTTCAGCTAAAGTAAGTATTGTCTTTTAGTTTACCTATACGATTTTTCATATTTATATGTTGATAAAATGTTTACATAAATTGCTATTATTATTTAGATGCCGAGAACCAAGCGGACTCAAAATAAAAAAATTATAGATGCTGCTCGTCTAAACAAAAAAGATTTGATATTGTTAATTAAGGATAAAGGTAAATTTACTTAAAATTAATTATTAAATGTACTTCTATGATTAAACTTTTGATTGAATATTTTAGAGACAGAATATTTAACTTTATTGGAAAAGGAAATGGAAGAAAAATTACAATCAATTACTTTGGCTTATATGAATGAAAAAGCAAGTATAAGAGAATCTATGTTAAATGCAACTGTTAAAGATATTGTGAGTAATATCACATTTCTTTGTGCTAACTATTTATTGCCATATTAACAATTTTAGAAAAGTGGTGCATTCAATAGTTTTTCAGAAACTACAGTAGCTTTTTCTGATTTAACTAATACATTAGAATCAATAAAAAGCTCCGCGAACCATACATCGATTAAAAAGGGAGTGATATCGGAGGCTAGAAGTCGAAAAAGAAGTGCATCAGTAGATTCAAGAAAATCAGTTAAAAGAAGTATGTCATTAGGTTGTCGAGATGAGGGTAAGTTGTTCATAAATTAAGTATAACATTTGGAAGGGCAAACTTTCATCTTTGATATCAGCTTATGCGATAATTTAATGTTTTTAACATACTAACATCCTTCAACTCTTAATGAGTGACCTGATGAGTTATTTCTAATATCTTAAGGTGCGTCCAGACCTGAGGAGAAGAGCGCGAGACATTGCAAATTCGCTAAGTGTGGAGAGGTCTAGCAAGAGCCCTATTTATATATTTATTTATTTATTAAAATCTTAACAGAAATACATTCCGGTTACAAAGCAAGTACAGGTAATTACTAACAATATAAAAAATCTCAATAATTAAATTCCAAATCAAGATACAAAATGCCTAAAACGTTTGACACTCAACAAAAAATTAAAATGAAACATAACAAAATAAGTAGGTATACCTATCCTATAATATTATCACAGAGAGTGTTGGTACTTATAATAGAACAGTTCTTGGCTCATTCTTAGTTCGAATCAGGTTTGCATTAAAAATATCACAGATAGAGCTAATCTCATTTCCAATCCTACACTACTACACTACTACAATTCAATGGTGGAAAAAGGTTAGGTTAGGTTGTAGCTTCATTACATTCAATTACAATTTAATATGTGTTTGGGTTCCTTTCACTATGATCCAACTCGCTTGTCTCGTGGCAGGCTTGCCTCAAAAGATTGATAGAAGAAGTCTAGCTCTTGTTACGCTCTTGCCTCGCTCTCGTCTCGTCAGTTCTGGACGCACCTTTAAATGACAACTTGTAGCCTATTTTAGATTACAAGGGCTAAAATGTAAATTTATTTGATAAAAACGTACATAATACAGAAATATTAATATTTTATCTGACAGTAACAGGCAGTACTGAAAGTCAATAAGGGCCAGAGTGTAGGTATATTTCCTATATAATAATAATAATAATAATAATCTTTATTAAAAATGTTTTTATTTACATAACATAAACTGCAATGAAAGAAATAAAACATTTTTAAGTGCGAAATCTAGCTAATCAAAGTTACCTACTCAAATTTAACCGAGTGAGATAAAAAATAAAAATAATTGTTGATCTCGACGATAAATAATTCTTATTAATTTGACAAATCCAACTTAATTTGATATATCAATAATAATTATAGTTACAAGGTACTGGATAATAACTATCATAGTATAAGGAAACTGGTAGCTTTACTCCTTGTATGGTACGGTATAGCGTTCCCAGAACCGGAGCTGTTTTTCGGAACCGGTAATTTCGGTACCATGCCTCTAAGGAACCGGGATTTCCAGTTTTTTTTGGTACATTCGGTACTCTCAAGTTTTTGTTCAATGATGGCGCAGTTCGTTAAACAGCAAGCAAGGGATGGTTGTCAAAAGTAAAATCGATAAAAAATTGAGGTTTAAATAAACCTGAACACAAACATGATCACAAATGACTCTCAAAAAAAAACTCAAAGCACAATTTTTTGAAACAGGCTACAACCAATACAGTAAGGCACTCATTTTTTATCAATCCGTCTCTGTGCTGGGACGCAATGCTCGAACCTCGCAGGTCGACGGATGGAACTCAACTGCAGTTGCTCTGCAATCTGCCGATATTCGACAGATTGTAAAAACTGGCAGAAAATATTCGGGAGAGTGCAACTACTCTTTTCCTTCTACTATGATAATATCATCAAAATTGTACTACAATTTTGATAGTAGATACATGTGATTCACAAAGCTTTATCCTTACTTTGAAGTTTAGCCATTGGCATATAAAGTTTTTAATGCAATATAGGACTTTTTGCTAACATTTGATACATGCTGATCATAGTGAACTTTTCAATCCGTAAATGTAAACTAACCAAATTTCGAGCAGAATTAGTAAAAACAATGCCGGTAATAGTTTTTTACATCATACTTACCTATATAAATTACTAACACAAATGAATCAGTAGAGTTATACAACGCAAAAAGATTAATGATACTTAATCTTTTTGCTTTTTTTATATTATCTAAAAAGAGACTTTCTTGAAAAACTCTGGATACTTTAAAAATACAAAATTTGAATAAATTTGTAGTGATGGGCAAAACTATTATTTTTAGATGACAGTTGAAACTGTTATAGTTATTTATAAAAAACAGCTTAAAATAACATCTTAAAAATAACAGGTTTCTTTATTTTATTGCTAAATATCTGAAAGAGTATGAGGCGGTCACCGCAAGCCGTATTAACGCAGTTGCAAGTTGCAACAATGACATGATCGGTGGTAGTATTTCCAGGGTGTCAAAACATTTCTAAATATCGTTTGTTATCTAAAATACCTCTCTAAAATCGGTCGTTGTTTACAAATAAGCGCTGTTTACAAATTGCGATATAAAAAAGCCAAAATTCCGCAACTCGTCTATACGTATACATTCCGATCTACCTACGCCTTGCCCCTCGATCGGCGTAGATCCCTAACAACTATATGTTGGGACAAGGTCTTTTTGCAATAAAAATAGTAATTTGTTAAAACGACTCAATTTATTTTGTTTATTATTCTAAATTCAAACATTACAATATGATCTAGACAATTTTACTATATTTTTATAACTTTGCAAATAAATCACTTTGATAATAGCTTATTTTGACAAAATCAAGCCAAATTTGCTGACAACTATATATTGGGACAGCACAATAAGAAATTTGTTTAATACGGAGTTACATCACCTTTCGCCTTAACAACTGCCTAAACTCTTAATGGCATTGTATTTACCAAAGATTGGCACATTTGAGGAGAAAAATTATCCCAAATTTCCTGCAGTTTTGCCTGCAAATCAAAAATTGTTCGTTGAAGTGGTTTCTTAAATATTGCTTCATTTTATACCACACAGTTTCTATAACATTGAGGTCCGGACTACTTGAAGGATGGAATAGAACTTTTATATTATTATTACCGAACCAATTTTTTGTTGATTTTGCTGAATGGCACGATGCTCCATCTTGTTGGAAAATATAGTCTTCGTTTGGAAACAATTCTTGAGCACTAGGCAAAAGTGAGGTCTCAAGTATATGTTGATATTTTTGGGCGGTAACAGTGCCATCTATAAAATTTAATTTGCCCAAACCTCTCGCTGACATGCAACCCCAAACCATAATCCCCTTAGGAAATTTAACAACCCTCTTTAAGCAATCTTTATGAAAGGCTTCTGCTTTATTTCGTATTACTCGTTTTCGATGATCTCCAACGCAAACATCAAATTTAGACTCATCGCTAAATATGACCTTATTCCAATCATTTTGTGTCCACGATAATTTAGATTTTGTCCAATTGTAGCGATTTTTCTTTTGAATTTCTGTCAGTAGCGGTTTTTCTTTGGCCTAAATAAGAATTTGTATCAATAATCTTCAGGTAATTGATTATCCACACAAAATAAGGTTTACCTTGTAAAACCCCAGACAACATTTATGGATATATTTTCGGCAACATTCTCTTGATATATTTAAACCAGCTACAGTATTCCATTTAACTGTCACTTCGCGAAAAGTACTTCTTCCCGCAGACTTGCAAATTTTTACTAAATTTCGTAAATCTCTCTGAGATACAACTTTTGGCCTTCCCGAACTTTTACCTCTAACGTCTACATTGGCAGATTCGCCGTATTTTTTTTATTATATTAAAGACCGTGGTTTTTGGAATACTTAAATCATCAGAAATTTTTCGAATTGTTTTTCCCGTACTGTATTGACGAATGATAATTTCGCGTAGTTTTTGATTTGTAGCTTTTCCACGGACCATTACTTTGGATTAAATTAACAAAATTGAAAATTAAAAAAATTAAAATTTCTTACAGTAAATCTCACTACTCAAAGTATCGAGTCACTTACAAGCTGTCAATGCTGAAGTAAACAGTTTGCGACATTTGTGATGTTTATAGCAAAGCCGCCTATGATGATATTAATTATTTAAAAATACTTGTCCCAAGATTTAGTTGTCAGCAAATTTGTCCTTTTATGCACAAAATCCGCTACTGTAAATATGGATTGATTTAGAAATGCATAAAAATATTGTCAAGTTGTTTAGGATATATGGCTATGTTTATATTTAAAGAATTAAACATATATTTTTCAGTCATTTTGGAAAACCAGGGCAATAAATCCATAATCTGACCTTGTCCCAACATATAGTTGTTAGGGCTCGTATATTAACACCTCGACAAAGTTGCGCTCACGTTATTATAGTATTTACAGTGGCTATACAGGGTGGTGCATCGTCGTTGCAATCATAGGAAATCCCATGCCATTTTTGAAGTGGCCCAGTTGATTTTAAGTAATTTAAGAAAAATTGCTAGAATTGACAAATCTATTATACGTGAGGAATTTCCCCCGAGGGATGGCACGTTTTTTGAAATATCCTGTATATTAGGGTGGATCGAAAAATCTCAAAAATGAAATTTCGGCTTGCTATAACGCGCAAAAGTTGCCTTAGGTGTATACTGGCATAATAAAAAACATTATCAAATTCGGATAACATCTTCCGATCGCGCAAACCGCCAAAAAAATACGAATTTGACAGTTTTTTTGAATTTTTTTATTAACTTGAGGTTTGTATTTTTTAGCAGTATGGTGCTTAAACGTTAGTAATAGTATTGAGTTTCCTGCAGAAAAAATATTACCTTTTTTAAACCATATCTTTCGATCGCGCAAAGTGTCTAAATATTTGCAAAAAATGCAAATTTTTATATTTTTTCCGCAAGTTTACACATGCAAATGTGCAGCTCTTTGCTTGCTTAGAAAATAATGTGATTAATTTTAAATTATTATCTAAACAATAACCTAGAACTCACCACGAGGAGGTGGCTACACTTTCCACCCACACCCTTCCCTCCATCCAACCATTAAGAATGTGTGCCGATTTATTCCGACCTTTCCAATGTCACTTTGTAGTCTGCCTTACTCAATCCGCCTAATTCCCCTCAATGGACACGTTTTTTGTAAATTAACGCTTGAAACATTTGCTAAAACAGTTTTTGCTTATTATCTCGAAACAACGTGTTTGGGGCGGGTTTTGCAACTTATCATATTAACACACTCAAATATTGATGTTTATTTTTTTAATTTTCTTAAAATACTGTCGGTCAATCTGCACGCCACTGGAAATTAACGACCTCAACCGTCTAATCTTTGTAAACAACTACATTGTTGCCGTAGCGTCGATACCCTATTCCTTCTTTGTCCATTCTCTTTCGCACTCGTTGATTTTCGCAAACCAATGTGTGATGAAGTTTTAGAGCGTTTTATGAATGGATCGTTGTATCTCCCGAGTTTAAATATCTTTGAAATGTACCATTCTTTGCCAGCTTTATGGAATACAAATAGCGAAGAATATAGCAACAGAAATAAAAAAAATGAACAATATAACGAACTACTAGGGAAATGTAAGGAAAACTACCCAGACTCTGATAGAAAACAATTGATAAGCAATAGCAACTTTTTTTCTGCAGGAAACTCAATACTATTACTAACGTTTAAGCACCATAGCACTAAAAAATACAAACCTCAAGTTAAGAAAAAAATTGCTAAAAAACTGTCAAGTTCGTATTTTTTTGAAAACTTATTCGATCGGATGATGTTATCCGAATTTGATATTTTTTTTATTATGCTAAGGCAACTTTTGCACGGTATAGCAAACCGAAATTTCATTTTTGAGATTTTTCGATTCACCCTACTGTATACAGGGTTGTTCACCACATACGACACGGAGTATTGTAGCTAAACGATTAGATTTTTACAAATTGTAAGTTTTGAGTTCGTTGAAGGACTATTAGAGCTACAATTTAAAAATATTTTTACAAGATACAGAGTGTCCCAAATAAATTAAAAATATCAAAGTTGTATTTTTTTTAAATGGAACATTTATTACACTTAAACCTTACCGTTTTTGAAATATTTTCAATTTTGTGAAATTGCAGTATAAATTTTAAGGCTTCATTTCCCCGAGGGTATCAAAATTTTTAATACTACATATTTACTGAAGTTTATTTATTGATCAGTTATTGTGTTGCATTAATAAAAATTATACTACCTTATACAGAGTGTCTAAAAATTTATTTTAAATAATTACTAGCTTTAAACGGCAATAACTTGTTTAATCGAAATGGAACACCCTGTATATTTTATGAGAATCAGATGCACAATTTAATTGTCTATCAAATTGCATTATACCATTTTTTACCTATCCCTTCAAGTTTTCATAGAAAATGCATTTTCTTATAATTTAGACCTCATTTATCAATATACCTATGGAATATTGACATTTTAGATTGTTTTTAAAACAACAAATCTACAAAATGTACAGGCTAGTCATATTATCGTTTTTAGTAAAACGATAATATTACTAGCCCATTTGTATGCAAAAAGAAAACTATT